TTTTCAAAATTCAAATTTTACTAACTTACAAGCCATTTTCAAATTATTCAAAATTGTGACGGTTTTCAAAAAGATAAAAATAAATTTGGACTAATCAAAATTCTTTAAAAGTTGTCAGCTGATCCTACCCCAATAAATAGCTCAAAATAAGAATTTCAACGACTTTAAATTTGTAATTCTAGCAGTTGTACAAAAACATTTGCTTAGTCAATAAGCCATCAAATTAACCTGTCAATTAGCCATCCTAATACTTAATCAACCTAATAATGAATAAAATTATTCGCATAAAAAATTTCCTGTTGTATTTTTACATTAGCCTGCTCCCTTTGCAAAGCCTGTAATTTACAATATTATTTTAAGTCTGTAATAAAAAAGTAAGCTATAAATAGTCAGGAGAAATCTAGAATAATGGAGAAAATAAGAGACACGACTACTTAATGGAATTTTTTTCACCACAAGTCTCGTGCAAATTCAATACAAATGTCAACATTTGAGAGTTTATAAACTCAGCATTTTTTATTATTTCGATTTATTATAAAATATAAAATTTTCCTTTTCTTCTTAATACTAATTTTAAATACATCTATGCTTAATATTTAAGTATCAATTATTATAATTTAGATATTTGTCAATATTGTCCGATAATTATTGGACTTAGATATTAATTTCTTGATATTTATGCAGTTATTTTTGGTAAAGGTAAGGTTTATCTTTTGAGTGGAATGCTCTCTCTATTTTTAAAATATAAGCAAATTATCTGTGAACTTAAAGTGCCTTAAAAATTGCTTCAAAATATTTAAATCTGGAATTAAAATCATTTTGAACTTGACAGAACTGATTATGCAACAATATTCAACCGAGTGACCCAATTTATTTCATTCCCAAAGGGTGCATGTGAATTATTCCGACTAAATTGATGTAACAAGTTGTTATGCAAACATTCTGAAGGTGATACTATGATTTATGAAGCGTATTTAATAACATGTTGTCCTACACGTGCTTTTAACTGAATCTATATCATTAACTCTAGGGATTTTCTACTTGAGCTTCTTAATTACTTGCTTAAATCTCTAAAACTTATCGATTAGAATTTCTAAGTTACTTTGTTATGAGGAAGTGCCTTTTAATTGTTGAATTGAGAATCAGGCGGAGAATTAGGTCTAACACTGATGATCCTTAAGTATGATACAATATTAAGGCGTCAACATTAGCTTGTTCCTTTTTTGGATGTCAAATCTATGTTATGACATCAATATTATCCAATGCTGGATATTGAAGACCTACACCTACGCCTGCAACTTCCTCAAATTCTCAATTTACATATGCAAAATATTCACAACTGGTGTTTATAAACTTTGCGATGTTTTTGTAACAATTAAGTCATTAAAATGATTCATTAGCATTACATCATCATTACATCTAATTTGCAGCTATGAATAATTAATGGGAATTATACTCAGTCGTCTGGATTTCAATTGAATTATAATTTAATTCTGATCGAGATCTTAAAGTCCAAACAAAGCAGATAGAACTAAATTGCGAGGGTAGTGTAAATTTACATTTTTGTGAAGTATTTGTAAACTAATCCTGAATTAATCAGGAAATAAATTGCGATTTTCTGGATTTTTTGTAGAAATCCCAACAAAAGAATGAGTAACAAGGTTATCTGACTGTATAAATAAACTTTTGAGTGTCAGTACAAAGAATCAAAAAGCTATTAAAGGAAAATCGATATTTTATGTTATTTGGAGGGTTTCTGAGACTTAAAACTTGATTGTTGGGTAAAAACGGTAAAAACTAAAATCAAGTTTGGAATATCATGAGCATTGCTCAAATCTTTGTCAGACTATCACCGTGTTAAGTATAGCAACGACTTATGGTGTTGTTACTGTTGCTGACTCCAAAAAATATGATTTTCTGCAGTTCGTTGCTCTATTGTGACTCAAAAATCGCAACAAAAATGTTCAGGAAGTGTGACACAATTTAATATTTCCAAACGACAAAAAAGCATTTACTAGAGCGTGGCATATTTCATCAAATTCGGAACATATTTTTTATTGGAACTAATATTACTTGGTCACGATGTCAGTTTAATTTAATTGAAGTTTGCTTCTTCATACGAAAATAATTCCCCTTTTTCAGTTCAATCATCAGAATATGTTTTTGCATGAGCATTATTTTGACTTCATTCATTAATAGCTTCAAGGTCGTCTGTATTTACATTATTTTCCTACGATTAAAACCATTTGACATAAAGTTGATTCAAACGACCTTGAAAATTTTACCGGCTTCGTTCGATCAGAATTAATTTTAATACGTTTTTATGAAATTTCAATTGATGGGTTTTTTCGTTTTATTCTTGACTGATTTAGCCTCAGCTGTTATGGATTTTTCCATAATTATTATAATGCAGTTCTGCAGTTCATGAATAAATTAACAATTTTCAATTCCATTAAAGTAATTAACATAATTAAAGATTAACAAAACTATCATCATCATCATATAACTTTTAACATCCAGTCATCAACTTAATGCATTTCAATCGCATAATATTATTTAAAGCTTAATTTAAATTCTGATTTCATCTACAAATTATAATTTTTCATCTCTAAATTTTCCATTAGGCACAACAATGATTTTATAAATCATTTAATTTATCGCCCTGAGCCATTGTCATATTTATTGGCATTCAAATTAACGTTTTTTTGTCATATTTGAATTTACTTTTTTACGCAAAATATGAAAATAAAAACTTTTCTCAAACATATCACAGAATTTTCCAATTTTCTTTGCATTGAATTTTCATTAAGTCGTTTAATTTTGTTTTAATTAAAAAACTAAGGTTATTTTTAGAGAGAGATTAAATGGATTAATATAAGGCATTTCAGCAAGAATCGTTAACAATAGTCCAGTGAGTAAATTAACAACAATAGAAAACGGAAGTTACGGTTGTTGTGAAAGTACTTCGTAATTTTACGTCATCTGACGCAATTTCTAATTTTTGTCGTAAAAATTCAAATGACTTGCGTAGTTTTGTGCCTTGAATAAAATACAAAAGGACTCATTGTTGACAATTCTGACTGAAAATGGCCTTATTGAGCGATTTAGTGCATTGAAATTATCATTGATGACATTGAAATGAGGGAAGTAGGGGATTTGTTTGAAATTTCATTCAACACTTTTATCGATAATTAGAACCCTCCTCCCCCCTCCCCGCTTTTACATTAAATTAAAAAGTTTCTAAATGTCTTTAATTTGTTTCTCCAGTTTCAACAATTAGTGTCTCTAGTAATGATCCTAGAAGGAACCTTACCATCAACTCTAATCGCCTATAGATCTAACTTTCAAGAGATAAACAACTGATGCCGAAATTTGAATTTCAATGCAATCCATCGCTCGAGTTTAGGTTAATAATAAAATGAGAAATAATTTGCACCCCCAAGTGGCATAAATCTGAAATGACGATGTTTAAATGTGACCAAGAAGAATCGTGTCATGGCTTTTGTTTTATGTTTTACATACTTTTGTGTCATTGAGTAATTATGCTGCTTTAGGGTGAAAATGTTTTATGCTGTTTTTAAAAGTTAAAAAAAATCTTTTCAGATTTATTAAAATTATTGGTGTTTTTACTTTTTTAAATTAAAGGAGCTTTTCTGAATAAAAATGCCTATTCGACCACAATATAGGTCTATGGCATATTAATTATCTTAAAAAATTAAGTATCTAAAGTGCCTTAATTTTGATATTTAAAAGATTTTACATAAAAATTTCACAATTCGTTTTTAAATTTGAACAAGAACTTTTGAACTAAATTTCATCCTTAAATATCGAGTCAATAAAAACTTTCTGGATATCAAATTTGTCAATTAAATCTTCAAGATATATCAAAATTATGTGTAAATTAAAACTTTTTCAATATCTAAAAGTATTAAAAAATTATTATCATTTTGTTTTCAAACATTCCGTCCTATACTTTTGATATGATAAAGGTAAGCAACGCTTACCTAATATTTTATTAATTTTAATAACATATTTAGCTTATTTCGCAATTTTCTATCATTTATGATGAAATCAGTGAGAGTTATTGAAGTGCTCAGTACAGGAGAAAACAATAATTGATAAGGAAGTAAAAGCACAATAGTGCAATAATTAAAATGAATTGATATATAATATTTTATAGTTAGTGAAACTTAAACAAAGCTACGTAATAGCATTTTAAATCAATAAACAATTGTTATTAGTCATTGATAAGATTACTTTTACTGGTTTGCATGGGAGTTCGAGTGGGTTTTTGTAATCGATTGACAAGATTGAGATTGATTTTGGAGGTAAACAAAACGATTCAGATTGAATTGAGCTTTGATTTTACTTTAGTAGATGCAAAAAATAGGATTCTTATTGACTAAATAGAGGTTATGACTCAAAACTTGCAAATTAACTCAAAATTTAAGTTTTTAAAATTATTAAACTAAAGTTCTCCAAAACTTCCCAACCATGTTCGATGTCGATCCAAATTCAGACCAGAAACTGCTCTAAATCAATGTCAAATCAATTAGAGCTACTAATTTACAATATTTTGAATCTAGAATCCAACAAATAAGTGTCATTGCACCCCCAAATAACCTTATCAATGATGATCAAAAAAAGGTTCATAAAAATAAAATTAAACATGCATTGCTTCAAACTTAGTTTAAGTAACTTACTGACTCATCTAATAATTAACAAGCTGTTGCATTTTACAAGCATATTTCACTTGTCATTCTACGTAGTTATTTTGTCTAGGTTACGTCTCTTTAAAGCACTCTTTTCTTACTCATTCCATAATTTACAAATCTATTTTCTCATTCTTATTCCAAGATATTGCAATATAGACTCTGTTGTGTCTTATAAAAATTATTTTGCTGATGATATTAATTATATTCATAAATTTATGTATGTTGTAATAAAATTTTAACTTATGAATCCTAATTTACCAATAATCCGATGAAATAGTATCGTTGGTATGAATATTTTATGCTGATTATTATTTTATTTAAAGCAATTCAAATTAGAATAAACTTCTCACTGCACTGATGCTGATCTTCGACGTCGGAACTTTCATCTTCTGAATCCGTTTGTATTAACTTGAACTGACGTTCTAAGGCAGCTATTTCAGCACTTGAAGCACTCACTAATTTCTTACTTACATCTGATGATGGACGCCTTAATGGTGATGAAAGGTCGACTGAATGCGATTTTCATGATCGTGTCTCTTCTCTTGACGAGCTTTTCTTGAAAGCCTTGCATAATCTGTCGACCAATCGATTATGGAACTTATTCAAGCTGTTCTGGCTGTCAGCAACTTTAGCTCTTGGCGGTGATGTTGTGTCCTTCATCGAATAACTTCGTCCATTTCCCATCACTAATGATGATTGTGATGTACGTGAGTTGACACGTGAGAAATGATTTCGATTAGGTGCAACACAACTTGCTGTACGACGTGGACTTAGAAATGATTCATGTCCTGGAGATGCTGACATGGATGTTGACTCTGACACTTTACGACTGTGGCTATTTGACTTGCCATTTGATAATGAACGGGTACGTCCATTATTCATCTTGTAGATGTCATAGTCTCTTCGCATTAATGGAATTTGAAAAGCCATTGCGATTGAAAAAATAATTTTCTGCCTTTACGAGTTGCGGATCAAAATATTTACTAGTCGTTGGTTCTTCTTTTCCTTACTTTGTAGGAAGAACGTGCCGAAAATATTGATTTTCTTTCTTTTCTTGAACGTAAGAAAAGAAAACTTTTGCACATAAATTTTTCTTTCTTTAAATCGTCCTTTTACTACGCACTTTTTTCTGTTCCTTTCGGCTTTTTTTAAGGATAACGTGGTGTCTGTCACGTAAATATTTTTTTGCTTTACTTGGAAAAATCAATAGTCGTGCCGGAAGAATTTCACTTTATTCACTTCCTTGTTTGATTATTTTCAGTTTTAAAATTTCAATTTACTTTTAAATAATTCTTTACAATTATTTTCACAATATTTTGAAATATTTTTAAGAATTTCTTTTTGTTTGAAAATTTTCGAGAAAAAAAAATAAATTTTCCTTAGAATTTTTCACTTGTTTTCTGTTTAAAGTTTGGAGTATAAGTGAGTCTGTGTGAATGAATGCGAGTAAATTTATTAAGAATGAAAGCTCGTCGGGTTTTTCAATGTGTTAGTAAAGTGCATGCAAGTATTTGAGAAATACATAAGATACAGACATACGTCATATGTATAGTCGCTGAGGGGAATGGAAGTCGAGCGATTTTGGGAACTTTTTGTTATATTTTATTGAATTTATGTCTTAACATCTTTATATTTTTGCATGATTTTGATAACTTAGATTTCCTAAATTGATGTTAATTTTCAATTAAAAGTAAGACTTAACTGCAAATAAAATTCGTTGCAAAGTAATTTAAATAGAAAAATTGTCAAAGATTTAAATAAAATTCAACAGTTGAAAAATTTGTGAAAATTATTATTACAAAATTAATATTTAAATTGAAATGATTAAATTGATAACTTTCACAAATGTTTACACAGAATGTTATACATATTAATGAATCGTAATTTTATGAAATCATTTAAATAAAGATAACTTAAAAAATTTAACTGTATAATTTTTATCTTGTTTGAGTGATAATTATATCTGGGCTGCATCATGATTCTTTTTTATCAAATACTCAACAAACAAAAAATATGAATTTTGCAACAATCAGTACATATGATGTTGATTACCTCCTCCTCCGAATCTTCATATTCATAAAATCTATGAAAATTCCAAATTCGAAAGTTCGAGCTTTTCTTCAAAAAATTAGGACTTGCCCTTTTTTAACCATTTTCGGGTCTTATTTCATTATCCCTAAAGCTATACATAATATTAAAATATTTAATAAAGTGAAATAAAATTATGTGATTAATCCAACTTAGTCACAATTGCACAATCAGATCCGAGAAAATTTAAGTATTTGCACAAGTGAAAATTGATAAGAAATCAATAGTTTTCTTAGGAAAATGTAAAATGAGGCATTTAGTGATTCAGATTTATGTTATGAAGAGCTTGTCATCACTGTCAATATTTAAAATTTTCATTTCTAAACATTCGAACTGATAAAAATAAAGCTAATGACGTTTAAAATGCTGAAGTTCACTTTCATTTAATTTTTGTTATTATGGAATCGATCTTCGTTATTCGTCGTTCACGTGCATTGATAATTAATTCAGTTTTTTTCTTTATTAGAATTATTGTTAAACATTTGTTTGCTTTCGGTTATTTTGTTTGAGTTCGGGTAATCCCGAGTTATGAAATATTATTTCAATCTTTTATTTTGTAGAAATGTAAAGGTTAATTAAGATACTTCCATATGAATTAATTTTCAATCCCAGAGAAGAAATTTTATACAGGGAATAAATAGCAAGGGTCGATTTCTCGATTTATAGTATGACTTTATGGGGTCGTTCACTTATGACGTCCGAAATTAACAGTCATTTTTCAAAAGGAATTTCTATTGTTCTTTTTTTGCTGACCCCCCCCCCCCCCCCCTTGGGCGTCAAAAGTGAATAAGCCAATGCTTTAATAAACAATTAGGCAAATCCAAGGACCTACTCAAGATCAAATATGGAAACAAATTTTCATTCAAAAAATTGGAAAATTGATAATTTTCAGATTAGAATCTAAATCTTGAGCATAGTTTTCAAGTTGTATTTGAAGACTATAATCAAGATTTAGATGCTTATCTTAAAATTTCAATCTGTACCCAAAAAACAATGCATGTCCGAGCAGTCAGCTTTAAATAAAAAAAAATTATTTTCGGCTTCTTCAAAACATGTCAAACTTAAATACAGAATTAATGATTCTTCGATTAATAAAAAATTGTTTTGTAATCTTCATCAAGACTTTTAAACAATTTGTTTCTTTTGAAATACTGCAAAAGAACACCTAATGACTGTATCGATAGTAAATTTAGTATCACTTCCGAGTGAGATTTTTAAAGATTTTTATACAATTGCGAATGAAAAAGTTATTAAAAACCACAATAATGGAAAATTAAAATGATTATTTATTACTTTATATATGTCCTCCGTACTGCATCAAATGAAACTTTATATTTATCGTTTAATAATGACAACATTCATATGCAATACCCAATTTGTGATTAAATTGAATCATATTTTTGCAAAGACATACCATACATTTTGAGAATGTCTGCTGAGTTCCAGGAAATTTCTTCTTGGCAATAATTCAGAGAGAAAATTGGCCATTAAAGTAATGATTCATTGATTCAGAAGTGCGATAGGGCGATTCAAAGCTAAATGGGAGATTAACGAGTGAGGATGCGCCAAACCACTGAACTACTAAACCTTCAATTTATTTTGGTTTGAAAAAGAACAAGCTAATGTACTAAACCATTCCATCGCCGTGCCACTTCACTATAAAGCATTACATAACATCCAAACGAACCCTTGCGAATTTATTAATTTATGAGCATGTGTACAATGTATTTTTTTTTATCTCATTTAAAACTTAAGATTCAAGTAATTCTTGCCAATAACCGGTATTTAATTTCATAAAAGCTCATGTAATACTGTTATTAAAATGCTATACAAAATCACCTAATTAATTAGAATCCTAACACAAATGAAGTTTAAAATATAAGTTATGAGAGAGCATTGAAGCTGGTTTCAAATAGTAATTAATTCTCTAACTTTGGGGGTCATTAAAAAATTACGTCCAACTTTTGGAGAATGTTGAAGGAACTTTTAAGCTGATTGACATTTTACAAAAATTAATTAAAATAAAAGTTTTAAGATGAACGTAATTTATGAATATTCTACATACTACGTTGATGTTGTCTGTTAAATCTGACCTTGATCGATATTTTGTTTCGAGAGAGTGAAAAAAATTCTTTTCGTGAAAAATTCAGCAGCAACAGCAACAGGTCTGATATGCAACATTCACTTGAACGGTCTTGTCATTGAAATTCAGTCTTTTACTTAAAAAAATATATATCAAGGTTATTGCTATTAACACTCAATATTAATAAAATCTTGAGTATTTTTTTTTTGGACTTTTTAAAGATCCATTCATGCATTTCCTTTAATGATCCACTCAGCTCTTTAAACGGCTCTCCTAATAGCTTATAAAATATTTTTTTTTTTAAAAAAAAAAAGAAGAAAAAGCTGAGAAATGAGATTGTTGCTCATGCACAATCCCTACTACCCACCGAATACTTTACGATATATTCTGTTTGAAATTTTTTTTCAGTTGATTTTTGTATCTTAAGCTGTTTAGTCCATTGTCTGTGGAAGAAGTTGGAAGTTGTGTTCAAGAAAAAAAAAACTTCCTTTCAAATATTTTAATTTTTGTTTAAAGCTTCCAAAAAAACAAGTGAATTTAAATCCCAAAAAATGCATTCATATAAGAAGTGAGTATCCAAAAAAATAATAAAGTGATTTAAAAAAATTGGAAATAAAATTGTCGTAAAAGGTCGAGATGAATATTGACAATGATGGATAATCGAATGAATCGCGCGAAAAAAAATAAAGAAACAGAAAAACATTAAAAAAACTGAAAGTTTAAAATAAAAATCATAAAGATTATGCAATGAAGCAGTAACAATATATATCTGTGCTATAATCAAAGTATTCAATAAGGATGTTGTAATAAAGTTTAACCTTTTTGATTCAAGAAATATCTCGACACACAAAATAGCTATCGATTATTTTTTAAAAAAAAAGTTTAAATGAAATTTCATTAAGAGCGCATTTTTCAGCAAATATCAATGCATAAATAATTTTATTTGGATGGAAACAAAGCACGACAAAAGAGAAAGAAAGACAAGTTCAACGAAACTTTATCTGTCTTTTGAGTTGTCTTATTTAAAATTCATCATTTTATAATATCAATAACGTTTTATAATACTGCAAAAAAGAAATGTGGATGCGATTTGAGCATTAAATAATAATTAATTAAATTCGCATAATTTTTTTTTTATTGATTGACTCGAAATTCTCACATTTTGAACTTTCTCGATTAAAATGATAAGTTTTCATATTTGAGGAATAGTTTTGAGTTGAAAGGAGGAAGAAGAATTTACAATTTTATTTTGTTAAGTTTCATTCTTTAATTAAAGCTTTACTAGCTAGTCAGAAGTAGCTATAACATAGCACCATATGATTTTCTTCCTTATCCTACTTCAAAAAAGTTTTGATACTTTGTTAAAAATGGTTAAACCTTAACATTATAATCAAAAATTATGATCTGCAATATTTTCAATATCTAGTTGAAAGGCCATGGATCACAATTGATCTGTACGGCCAGCGAAGTAATTAAGAAGTTGCTGGTTACGGTAAAAACTGCTAAAATTTACGCCAATTAAACAGCTGATTCATTCAGTTCTGAATTCAACGACAATAATTCGAACCTATTTAATATCAAGTAGCACAAACCATAATTCAACACTAAACAATGAAAAGCCACAAGATTGTAAACACTTTTATTAATTGTCGATTGGTGGTTTTGAGTCAGCAGTCATCCATGATTAATTTAAGTTAAACAATTTCTAATTGTTTATAATCTCAAGCTTTGAAAATTGTAAATCAAAAATCACATTAAGTATGCACTCATTACCATATCCAGCATCTCAGTGACCTTTACGGTAAATTATTGACTGTCAATACGTAGCTCATTGCACATACATACTTTCAAGTAAGAATTTCAACAAAAAAATAAAATAATCCTCACGACATAGTCAATTAAGCATGCAAATTATCAGACAAAACGTTAGCAATAGTGCACAAAAAGTCAGGTAATGTACCGAAACAGGCACAAATGATGTGTAAATGGAATTTTTGTAAAGAAAAAAGATCAGCGGCAAGCCCAACGAGGTAGATTCACGACAAATCAAAATGATTAAATTAAATTGTAAAACATTTTTTTTATTGTGAAATGTCGAAACATAAAAGGCTAAGGAAGTCGTGAAGCAATTATTGATATTTTTCATAAAGAATCCCATTCAATAAGTCCCTAATTGTGCAATTTACGAAGAGCATAGCAAATAAATGTTGAGTTGAAGTTGAAAAGGTCAAAATGATGATGATTTATATCAAATAAATTTTGAACAATTTTTTTTTGCATCGTCGATGTAGAAAGAAAGAAAGAAGGTGCGAACTGCCATGACTTTTTATGTCGTGGCGTAAAAAAATTAATTGCTTTTTCTTTAAAAAATAAAATTGTGAATGTGTGTTGCAAAATACATCATATTTGAAATGATTATTTATGCGATGATTATATTATGGAAATTTTTTTGTAGATTTGATGCAAACTTTTCGACGTTCGCATTTCGAGTGACATTTCAGGCACACGAATTTTTAGAAGACACAGTATCGGCTTTCATATAAAATCTTGTTGAAATTTCTGTTGCAAAACTCTGTAGTAAGATTTATACTGTCATAAATGCGCCAATAAATGCTTAAATTCCAGCTAACATCCAAAATCAAGGACCTGCTTTTAAAGTTAAATTTCAAAGACTATTCAGTTCATGATGTTCATGATTTAGCGCGAGATTTGGGTCTGACAACTATATAAAAATAATGTTTTCTTAATTAAAGGAGAGAAAGGAGGTAAGCAGTCTACAAATACAGCCATTTTTCAACAGCTATAATTTGAAACGACTCCTCCAGATTTCAATCAATTAAAACTAACCTATCGCCACTAAAATCAGCAATTAAATCTATTTCTGTTTCCGCATTCTGTTTAAAATATGTAGCAAGATCCTTGATTCATTACATAAGTACTGTCTGAAATGCGGGCAGTGGATTGAATACGATTACGATTAATAAAATACTTCTTATTAAAAAAACCAAAAACTGGTTAAAAATCACATTTGCATGAGTAACTCTAGCGCAATCTCATCTAGCTGACTAAGTGAGGTCATGCGAAATTCACGTGCTAAAATGTAAATTATCTTGTAATGATTGGATTTTTTTATCGATTTCCATATTAAGTATTAATTCTTGTCTGTGGAATGTTTTAAGAGGAAGTCTCCAACTGTTTAGTTTTAAATCCCAAATCACTTTAGGCTATGAACTGTTGATTTGAACTCAAAACCAGTAAGCTAGTCAGAGCAAGTGGTATCAAAAAAATGTTAAGCAGAATATTGACGAATTCCGGTGTGGTTACTGCTTTAATTGAGATTTGATGTTATTTCACTAAACATTTCTTGTATTTAGCTAGCCTCAGGGTATTGACTTTAATGCCTTGAAGTGGCAGCATAAGAAAGACGAAATAAGCAACCCTTTCATGTCTTATTGTTGCTGGGGTTTTCCAGAACAAAATTAATTGCTTTGTTATTCTCAGCTCGTTCGTTCCTTACACGATCATGCAAGATGTTTCCAGTTCTCAAAGAATTCCTGCATGTTCACTTGATGTAGTTTGTAAACAACATGCTCATTCAAGTCATGCATTGATTTGGCAAAATATAATGCGTTAACATTCAGCTATTATCCAACACATATGACAATAATACCCGATCAGTCTCAAAAAAAAAATCATTTCGAATTGTTCATCATATTCACATAATAATCTACTAAGCCTTTCTTTTGTAAATTGAAATTCCAATTTTTTTTAACTCTCTGTGTGTTTTGCATAATCACGAAATGTTGCTTAATAGTATTTTTTTTTAAACATATAAAATGTATATTCTAATCAACATTTGCAGCTTAATATACATTGCACTTGTGACCATATTGCTGTTCGCACACTTAACAGTTGCACAAGACGCTCAAAAGCGAAATAGTTTATTGGCGAAAAGAGCTGGTAATAACAAAAATATTTTTCAAAAAACCACAACTACAACTCCAGAACCCGTCTATGAGGTATGTTAATATGCAAATTTATAGTCATTATTTCTTTCTGTGGCACAGAAACAGCTTGTGAAATTAAATAGATATTTAATGCAATACAAAAATATCTTTTTCAAGGATGAAGAAGCATATCCTGAAGAGCCAATTGACGATGCAGATTATCACGATCAAGAACAATCCAGTACAACTACAACAACCACTGAGGCACCTAAGAAGATGATTCGTCCATCAGTGCGTCCAATGCGTTCAAATGAAGATTTACTATCTGCACTGAAGAAACGACGAATTAGTGAGAAGAACAAGCCTAAAGAAGGTAAGTTGATTGACATTAGCCTTCTCACATTTCGAGTATTAAAAAACCTTGCATGTGTCAAGTGCAAGCTTGAATGTCTATTTGGATGTTTGAATTTAAAGTTAAATAATATGATATTATCATTTGCATTTAAAACGATAGTTGAGTTCCGCTTTAATAAAGATGCTGTCAACATTGTAGCTCACTCGTGCAGTGACTTTGAATTTTTTTGGCAGCCATCACCGGTTTTACGATGTCTAATATAACATGGTTATGTAAATTTATAAGATATTGATTTGTCCCTTTGTGATCGGCGATCAATGCATAATATCGGTAAATTTCTTCTCGCTTCTTTCTTTTCCTCTCGAATCGACCAATAAGATAATATACAGCTAATGGTGCTTTATTAGTGATCAACTGATTAAATTGACTTTCCATTTTTAAAAGGTTTAAAAATAAACTTTGTTTATATAGTTTTCGAGAAATGTTTGATCGACTAGGTTGTAGCTGATATAGCTTTGATATAATATTGGAATATTGATTGAATATTATTGAAAACAAGGAAATTTTGAAATCCGAAAGATTTTTTATCCTTAATTTGAAGTTTGTTATCAAAACTTAGTCAAATGAGTTTTTTTTATGACGTCCATCAAAAACACGATTTTTAGACCCCCTCCACTCCCCCCCCCCCCCCCCCCCCCTCCTTGAAATTTCCTTTAATTCTTGCAATAAAATAACTATGCTATTGAACTCTCACAAATCATAGCTTGAACCCCATTTTATAAAATTCAAAGCTACAAAATCCGTTACAAACTAACTCAACTAGATATTTCTATGATTGCCTTACCGCGCAGCCTACCTAGTACTCCGATATATAATTTATTCACAACACATTCACTCCAATGTTATTAATATTTTGTATGCATTTTATTTACATATACACATTGCTTCCATTATTTATTCATTATGCAAAATATGACATTATTTGTTCACAAATGGACAAAGAAATGCTTTCATAAAGAAGACTTAATAATCTACCAAAAAAATGAAAAATTCTAGTAACGCTCGCAGAAAATAATTTTTTATGCATGTGCCTCAATCACTGACATTTATCGTTTTTACTTTTCTTTTCGTAAATAATTAAAGAGAGAGGATTGAAGTCTGGAAATAAAAATTAACAAAAGCATAAAATTGTTATGCCTGAATAGTCGACCTTCACTTTACTTTTTCTAGCAATTACCTTTTCAGGTTTCACATAAGAAGTACGAATTTAAAACTTTTTTTTTTCTCTTTCTCTATCAATTAGTTGTTACACAAAAGCCTGTACAGGAAGATAGACAATTTGAACCAGAAGTAAAGCCCATAAAGCCAAAGGTAGCATCTGTACCGATTTCATCAAATAACAGACGTTTTGGCGGACACAAATCAACAAATGTTAAAGCACCCGTCTCAGATAATCATGCACAAAACATCGAGGAACAGCCTACAAAAAGTTTAAGATCTCCAAATCGATTCGCAAGATCAAAATAAAAAAAGTTTTTCTTCTATTAATTTGTAAAAAGAGATTTCATTGTATTTAAAAAAAAGGAACATTAAAGATTCAAGAAAAAAGAAGTAATAGACACAACTTAGGATGAAAGTCCTTTGTATTTATACCAGTAACCATTTACGTAGAAATTCCTATTTTGTTTCATGAAAAAAAAAAATAAACTGTAAGATTTAAAATTTTAATTGTTTTTTTATTTTTTTTTTATAAATTTTATGAATGAAAATATGGTTTTAGTGGTTTTAAGAATCAAATGATGAATACAGCACAGTTTTTCAATTTTCAATAGTAAAAATTGCTTAAATTTCGATTCTTTGAATTTTTAAATAATATTCTTTAACAATTTTCGTTAAAAAAATATGATTTTACTCCTTAAAACTAGAAGCGATTGGAAGCAGAACTCGAAGTCTAGTCAAACCAAGATTTTGTAACCAACTTTTAAATTCAAACTTTTACTTTTTCAGACATCTTTAATTATTAACAATGTAGATTCTAGATTTAAAGAGTTCTACACTAGATGATTAATTCCATGTCTCTTTTCTTAATCAATCGAAGAATGTGTATTGCATTTCAATTCAAGCACATATTAGCTGTGGTTTTGGTGGTACTTTCCAAAATGTAAGCTTGAAATCGACTCAATATGATTTCTAGATATGTTCACACCCCACGACTGCAAACAAAGAAAACTTCAGTTAGATTCGAAAAATTCAAACTGAAATTCGAAAATTTTCGAACTGTTTCGAACTATTAAGTTTTTTAAAAAATAATGTAAGTATGAGTAATTTTTACTCTAAATTCAACAAAAACTTTTAATAATTTATCAATTGTATCTTGACAATGTTCAAAATCGACTTCAATTTGTGCAATTACTGTATTGATGAATTTCTGGTTAAAGGAAGGATCAGAACATAAGGTAAAACAATTAAGCTGTCTATAAATAAATTCAAGAATACACAAGAAATGTTTTTTTTCACAGCAATATTCAATATTATGCAATTTAAGAAATTCAATCCACTTATCTTTATGCACAGAGCTTTTTGAAAGTTTAAACAAAGGTATTTTATTGGTTTTCTTTCCTTTACAACCAGTAATTACACAATTTCTGACCATTTTAAAAAAATGAAATTTTATAACTTCAATAAAGACCAAGAAATGAAAACAAATATTTTCAACGGAAATTTTAAATTCAAATCAAGTTCGGAAATGAAGTACCTATTTCCGAAAATGAGTTCTTGTTTGCAGTCCTTGGGTTCACACTTTAACCGTTGAGAGAAAATACCAAGTTTTCTTATGGACCGTTCACTTATGACGTCCGACATTTAGGGGGGGGGAGGGGGGTCTAGGATTTTGTGACAGTTCAAACAATGGAAATTTTTTTTCTATAGAATTTTTGTAACAGAGGGCGAGGGGGGAAAAGGGTCTAAAAATCAGATTTTTTGATGAACGTCATAAGTGAGATAATATCAATTCCTGTCAACTTCCTTATAAATAATAACGACTTGAACATCTTTGAAAATTGCATGGTTAAATGGCTTTTTAACGAAAATCTGATCAAAGCCTGCATTTTAATATTGTGCAGTTTCTATTGAAATAATCCAGTTTGACTATTTAGCATATAGTTTAATCAGTCATATGAAATTCGATCTGCTGCACGTAGCAGATGAATGACTTTTTATTTCCATGGTACCCAAAAATAGCAAACTTTCAAGGTCGTAGAGATGTTTATTTTTGAGACCTCAAATTCTTTAATAAATTTAAGTGACTTTGTTTTTGATTTGCTGCGAAAATGTTTCAGCTTAGATAAGAAAAAAAAGTCCTCCACTTTGAATTTGATGACATTTTTCTACAATATTAACGAATGACATAACTAATTCTACATGCTTTCGTTAACAGTTTCCAATCAACTTCTTCATCTTCGTTTATGTATTTTCAAATGTTTTTAAAACTATTTTTGCGAATATATTTGTTTCAGATACGGAAGTTTTCCATATAATTAGCATTTTTATGTTCCCAATTTAATTAATTAGGCAAAGTTATTATAATTCGTCGACAAAATTAAATGTTTTTTTCGTTTTTGAAATTTTTACTACTGAATTGATTGAGTTGGCTGCATATGAATGATTCTAATTAGCATTTATCTAAATGATTCAAGAACAGATGGATTCTTAATTTCATTGATTAGATATAACGGTATGCTATACTGATGTGGGAGGAACATCATCTTTACCTCCAGTTTGAGATAAATGTCTAATAATATCCACCCAATCCCATCCTCGTACTTTATTTCCTTTATTGTCTGACCTTTCCCACAACTTTTTCTTTTGTGCCTTCGTTAACTGTTCTTTTTTGTTAACTTGTGCCTTACCTTGTGGTTCAGCACTTGATTTAAGTTGAATTGCTGCCATATTATCAGCAACATTATCTACTTTTTGATTCTGTGACTCTTCTTCTAGTTCCGCAAATAGTTCTGTGAGTTTTTCCTTGAGACATTCGAACAGCGTATAAGTCATTCCACATCCTAGCCAGCTTTCACCTTCTGCATTGAGAATATCGATGATTTTGGTTTTGAATGCAGCAGATCTGTAAATAGATACACATCCAGTTATTAAGTCATGCAAAATCCAGCTAGAAAGTAAATATTTTTGTCACGTAGATTAAATTATTAGGACTTACATGGTTCTATTGTAATAAGTGTCTAGAGAAATTTTTGGTAGCACATTTGGATACTCTTCAGTCCATGTCACCTCAACATTAAACGTATATTTATCATTCTCATCTCCGTACTACAAAAATAATGCAATTAAATTTTCGTTCAAAATCAAAACAAAACCAAAAATCTGACTTTATATTGAAAAGTTGTGTTGTTTAACTGTTTAAAGAAGTTATCGCCTTCATAAATTGATGCTAATGCTTCTAATTCTTCAGCTTGTTGTTCTAATAGGTCAGTCATCTTCGTTTTACTTATTAATTGTGTTTTAAATTGAAATTTAAAGTTTATTTTGATTCGCACAAATATTTTTCGAAACTATTCTGAGAAGACTAGATTTTACTTTCAAAATTCAACAAAACTGTGAAAATTAATTCAAATATTTCACTTTCAAAACCGATTCATGTTTTTGAATCTCAGAAAATCGTTGAAATAATCTTGTTTACATTACAATTTGACTACCTCAGAATCAATAAACTCACTAGTGTTAATAATTTTTAAGATTAGAGAGTGAAATACAGAGTGTCATCACAAAATTATTTTCTTAAACGTTAAAATTGTGCATTTACTAGCTTAATATCATACCAACACCTTTCTACATTTAAATAAAACAGGTATTTTTATAAAAATATAGAATTAGCCATTTAATACAAGCGATAGATTACTATTTACATGAGTCGACAAAACATAAGTGTTTGAATAATATTCTGTCCACACAAGTTGTGCTAAGTCAACAAAAACATTCTATTCAACACGTTTGCACATTTTTTTTTGCCTGTTGCTCAGATTTGAAGAAATCCGATAATCTAATGTAAGATAGATTCCTCAACATTATCTCTGTTCCTAATAACTAATGAATTATAATGTGATCAACACAATCACTTTATCAATTTGATAAGAAAAGAAAAGAGAGAACTTAATAGCAAAAAAAAATATTTCTCAGTTGTTGATTAACTAGTGAAGACGTTGGAACACATTTTTGTGTTTATATTGTGAATTTGTGGAGTTTGAACTCTTAAAGCTGTTAAAGTTGTGCATAGTTTAATTAAAATGCATGCTCCAGAAACGGGTACTCATGGATTTAAGGATGGCGCCATTGATTTTACAGCTGGATCTTTAGGTGAGTAAACGTTTGTGAATGAGCAGTCAAACGAGTATAAAAGTCAAAATATATTTACTGAATACTGGTGATAAGTGCGTATTTCGCGGTTCTATTTTATTATAACTGTCGTAAAATATTTGAATTTGAAAACCTTATAAATGTTATTTAAAATTTAAAAAAATTTGTAACGGACATTTTTTATACAAAAAGTAAATAATTCGATTTGAATAGGATTTTTCTGGAACAAAACACCTACTCAAATCGAGGACCCCCAGTATTTAAAACCACATAAATGTTGTACTTTCTTCATCCAAACCTTACAACAGCCTTTTTTGCTAAATCTGTAAAACCATTCAAATGTTTTCAAATCTCAGCAGAGTTGCGAAACAGGCACCTGTGACAGGTGAGAACCCTACAATTCCTTGATAATTTATAAGGTTTTTGTAACAAAACCATACAAATTATAAATGAATTGAACGGTTCTCACCTGTCACACGTGGCCTGTTTCGCAACTCCAATTTCAGTCACTATTTTACAATTTTCGGCTAAAACGGAAACAAGATATATCAGACAAAAAGACTTCTTAACAGCAGTCTTTAATATTTCCTTTAATACTACAAAAGACAACAAAAAAAAGTCGCGCGAGTTTTTGCTCATCAACAAAATTATTTTATCTCGTCTACAATGCTTGATGAACAAAGCGTGACGCAGTGATTGTCAAATTAATGACGTTTGAATGCTTTGTGTAATGATGAGAATCATAACGAGCCCTTGAACCCGAAATTCTTGTTTACTTCTTATCAGTAAATGAAATTTCCTCTTATTTACTTACTCGGAGATGTTCTTATGAATGATTAATATTTTTGTGACCCGGTTTTTACGAGATTAATCAGAAAATCAACAGATTATTGTTTTTAAATATTTTTATTTTTTTCCCCCTAATCATGCTACGTAGGTGCACTTGCAATGGTTTACGTATCACAACCTCTCGATACAGTCAAAGTAAAAATGCAGACATTTCCCAAACTATACACGGGAATGGTAAATTGCTTTGTCACAACATTCAAGCGTGATGGATTCGTTCGAGGCTTATATGCTGGTAAATAAATATAACTTTACTCATTTTTGTTTACTTTCGATTTATTTAATGGACATGATATGAATTATTTTCTATAATTATTTACACAGGAACGGTTCCCGCAGTTGTTGCGAATGTGGCTGAGAATAGCGTACTATTTGCAGGTAAACAGACTTTATGTGCTTTTCGATTCGATAAATAGTCTCTCAATTATATTTAAAATTAATAATAAATGATGAAAAATCTCTCTCTCAAAAATCTCCACTATGACAATTTCCGTATCGTACAAATGAATAGCCTAAAATGCGTAGGAATGTTAAATAATAAATAAATTAAAGCAATTACGTATCTGAATTTACTTACGTTCTCTAGTATTCACGCAATGATTATAACGTCCAAAAGTGCAATCTCCCTCAAATGTTCCAAGCACTCCCGTCACTGAGTTTCTTGCACAAATAAAGCGAGATGGATTTCGTTGAGGTGGACAGGCTCGAGCACAACCCTCCGGCATTGCTACACGTGAGACAACGGCATGTGTTGATGATAGCGATGTGTAGCAAAAAATCAATAAAATTGTAATTGCTGATAGTTTTAAAAACATTTTTGAATTGCCGTTAAGTGTCGATTCTGTTGCTAGTAGCTTCTCCGGAGTTTTATAATACATTGCTTTTGCTATGACTTGTGATTCGTTTTAAACTGGCAGCGACAAAAAAAATTGAGCAGTTAATTCTCTTCGATCTGTTTGGAATTAATATTTAATTCTCTTTTTTTTTAACACACAAAACTTATTTTTTCATTTGATTCTCAGAGATCTGGTAATGTTCTCTCAAAACTTAGCATTGTCGCTTAATATTCTTTCTTTATTTCTTTGTATAACTATCGACTTAATGAACACCGAAACAAAGAATTAAAAATGAGAGATTTGTGAAGAAGACGCTACTTATGCATTGAACTCTATTTAGCATCTAATGCAGCACACGGTTGTGTGATATATTCCTAGAAAATATTGTCTATGACTTGAATGCAAATTGCATTGCAAATATTTTACTTTTTATAAATTCATATTCATATTGTGCTGATTATTTAAGCTCATTTGTATCAAAATTTTGTGCGATTTATAGTTTCTTTCTGGGTCAATGAATTTTTAAATCTTTACAGTTAGATTAATGAAATATTTTTGGGGTTTTCTGAACTTGTCGCACGTGCTTTTGTTTATTTTTGAGCGACAGGTTGAATTGGTTTTTTTTTTGACAAACTTAATTAGACTAGCACTTAATACTGTGACTCTTATTTTTTATGTTATTGTTGAATCAAAAAAGTGTTTTCAGGGGTGTAGCCAGGATTTTGTAAGGGGGGTGCCCAAAAAATTTCCATTGTCAAAAATCAATAAAACCTTTTCTATTCGATTATTAAAAGCTAATTTAATTGTTCTTGATTTAAACTAATTTTCTTTTGTTAATTAAATGCGATTTAAAGTTTAAAGGCAAGGGGGGCACCTAAAGACCCTCTGGCTACGCCCATGAAAACAGTAAATCAATTTAAATCGAATTAAGATCAGTGATGTGGCATCAAAACTAATCTAATGTCATCTTCTTGAATCTTTTCAGAAGTATCTTAAAGACAGGGTTGCGATCCAGGTGAGAACCTTACAATTCCTTGATAATTTGAGAGGTTTTATTAGAATTTATATGGTTTTGTTCGAAAAAACCCTATAAATTATCGAGGATTTGTATGGTTCTTACCTGTACACAGCTGCTTGTATCGCAACCCTGCTTTAAATTTGTAACTTCTGGTTTCTTTAAAATCTATTTAAATTTTAAATCACTCTGTTGACGAAAGGAACACACGCTTTGTTATCCAATAATACAAAAAATTACCATAAATCTTTGAAAAATTAATTCCAAGCAAAGCAGTCAACAACTCAACAAGTTTGTCTAAAATCGATTAAACTAGAATAATAAGCTTGCGCATTAGTCACTCACCAATATGACTAATTCACTTACTTTCATCCGCTCACAGTATTTTTCCGACTGAATCGATGCAGAAATGCATTTTTTGTTTTGAAAACATTCTACATAGAAGCAAACAAATTTCTCTTAATAAGAAACAAGCGAGAGAGAGAAATTGAAATTTCTTATCAGTAAAAATTATTCAACAATGACTCGTTTAAGCTACTTTAAGTCAATTCTGCTTGTAAAGATTTTTTTTATATTGTTTATTTAGTTCATGAATTTTCTTCCATTTCTCTATAAAACCTTTTTTGGCTCTCACCAGTTTGAAATTGATGAAAGCAGCTCTAAACTAAATGTAGAAACTTTAGAAAATGATAGCACATGTGTGTTTGCACTTTAGTCTATGAATCTACTCAAGATATTGCTCAGTATAAGATCGGTTTCATGTCATTCTTATTTTAAACTTTCAATGTCTTTCGAAAGTTTATTTTAAAGATTTTTTAAAGCTTTTCTTTCTGGTGTCAGAAGAAGTTCATAACATTAGTAAAGTAAACATATGGAGGGTATTATGTGGTAGGATATAGAACGTTTTGTAAATAAAACGTGTAGATTTTTATAAAAAGTATCATTTTTGGGATTTTTTATTGAATGGTTCTTTATGATTGTTTCAGAATTGAGTTGAATTTAGTTGATATTTTATAATTGATTGTACTTTAGGGCTTGCATAAATGACATTCTATTGAGAATTGAATGTTTTTTGGTCTGAAACAATACTTTTAGAGGAGACAGTTCCGGGTAATACTTATGAATAGGGTTGCGATACAGGTACCTGTGCACAGGTGAGAACCGTACGAAATCCCGAAAAACCTTTTAAATTATCAAAGAATTGTACGGTGGGGTTTTCTCCCAACCTCCGAATGAGGAGGTTGTGTGGAATTGTGCAATACTTCAAAATTAATTAATTACGCGTAGGAATAAGTCACAAACCTACGGGAACTGTCTTCAAAGTAACAAAGAACAAAGATACCAAGGAGAAAACTCAGCAAAGTCGCGATTTAATTAAATTTTGGATATAAATTGAAATTGGAAAAAAATGTGTAAATTTTGCACTTAATCTAGATAAAACGGAATTGATCATCATCGGAATACCAAAGAACATTTAATTACATTGACAAATCACGATCGGCGGCAGTTGTGAGGAGAATCAACTGTTTCACGTGGGTTTTTTGTGTTTTACCAACAATCGTGGACAAGAAGGTTCTATCATAACCATAACCTAGACATATTGAATATTATTGGAATACAACGGATTATAGTCAATTGTGAGGAGAATTTGTCTCACGATAGGTTTTGTGTGTTTCCCCATGTATCGCGGGCAAGTTCTATCAATCAATTGGTGCTGACTGGATTTCAACAAATCAACATTGACAAACAGGAATCGATCATCTCGGAATACAGCAGAACATATTAATTAAATTGACAGATCACAATCGAGACATAAGAAAAAAGTGAATCTATTTGGAATATCACAAGTTAAATTACAAGGACTGTCAAGGGATCTGGATCATCGACAACTGAAGATGGAATTTTTTGCCTAGCGATGGTTTTTTGTTGTTTTGACTTATCGCGGGCATGTTTTCTGTCAACCATTTGGAGTTGACTGGATTTTATTGATTGTTCTTTGTGTATATTTGTAAATTAAACTACCTGGAATTGTGAACGGTCTTAAATAGCAATAAGCTGATGGACCATAATAAAGTTAATTAAGAAGAAGAAGAAGGAATTGTACGGTTCTCAACTGTGCACTGTTACCTATATCGCAACCCTGCTTAAGAATTTTCAAACCAAAACTCGCGCTCTTGTGTCTTCAGGTCTCATGCTTCCATCACTGGACTATCAGGGATTGCTCGAAACAAGGCTGTTTATACAATTATTTTCAAAAATCTCAAAACTTGCTTCCAATGGTGTGGAACTGATGAAATGATCAAAAATGATTAAAATGTAATTTATCAGTTCCGCATCTTTGCTTCCTCACATCGAAATTACTACTTTAGTTCATGATTAGTTGTTCAAACTCAAGTTCCAACAGTTCAAATTACTTTTAAAGCAATTAAGTTCAAGCACTTTTCACTTAAACCAAAAATAAATCACTTCAAATATTCAAAACAATCCAAAAAGTTCGATAAAAACAATATTTTAATCTGACCATTGACCAGAAAATTTGCTTACAACAACCCAAACCACAAAACTCCCAAAGCTTAGCAATTTAAAAAGTTCAATGACATTAAAAATATTTCTGTGATTCACAAAATTGCTTTCAATTATGAACAATCAACAGGTGGCTGTTTAAAACAATTGAAAAGTTCACTCATTCCATCTTGTATTTTTTATATACAGCACAATATGCAAGTTTCGTCCTTTATGCTGCTAATTCTTACAATTTTATTATTATATAGCTTATGGAGTCTGCCAAAATTTCGTCGCAAAAACAATAGAGAATAAAAAGGATGCAACAGAGATAACGCTATTGGGAAATGCAACAGCTGGCTTCCTAGCTGCTTTTTTCTCCTCATTCACCTTATGTCCCACGGAGCTTATTAAATGCAAACTTCAAGCGCTGCATGAGATGAAGCAATCTAAACAGATCTCACCGTATCAATTAACAAAGCAAATATTGAGGAATGAGGGAATAAGAGGAATGTTTCGAGGCTTGACACCAACATTTGCAAGAGAAATGCCTGGATATTTCTTCTTCTTTGGTGGATATGAAGCGACTAGAGAATTTCTTGCAAAGTAAGTTTATTTTTGTTAATAAAAATTAAGCTTCATGAAATTTATGCTTGTTGCGTCCTTCAGATTTTTTACTGCATTTTAAGACACTGAGAGACTTCCATAAAAAGTGTCATTAAATGCTGTCGTAAAACTTTTTTCTCCTCTAAATTTTCCTTTATTTTCTTGTCTTATGAATAAATTTAGACCTGGACAATCTAAAGACGAGATAGGACCACTCAAGACAATGGTAGCAGGTGCTGTCGGAGGCGCATCTTTATGGACAGCTATTTTTCCAGCCGACGTCATCAAGAGTCGTGTACAAATACAGGGTTTATCTGATTCTATGTTTAAAGTTGGAATGGATATAGCTAAAAAAGATGGAGTTTTAGCTCTTTACAATGGACTTACTCCAACAATTTGTCGTACAATTCCTGCAACTGCCGTTCTATTTGTAATTTATGAATATACTAAAAAGTTTATGAATCAATATTTGTAAGAGATTATTTTTTTATTAAAAGAATTTTTAAAAACAGCATGTAAAGATGATTTTATTTCTTATTAAATTTGTAGGTTTCAAACTTTTGGCTTTTGACAGTTTCTAATTAATTTGACTCGCTTAATGATCTTTATTTCAAATATAAAAGTATTCCCAATGATGTGTAGTTGACATGAGCATCTCTTGTCCTAATAGCAAGACCCTACACAAGAGCTTTTTAAATAGCCATGAATTTCGATTTGATATAAAATCAAAGATTCAATTTCCTCAGTAATAATGTAGGTTGATTTACCCTTATTGCCTTAATTTACGTTCAATTGAAAATGAAAATTGCTCAAATATTTACAATTTTGCTTACAATTTAAGGTTCATGAAAGGAAATACTTCTTAAGTAAACAAATAAAATGCAAATTTCCTCAATATACACAGCAGAATGAATAAAGATCCACAACATTTTTTGGGGATCACACAGAGTGAAAAGTGATTTTCACTTTTGGAAGTGCAATAAAAGGAATGAAATTTAAATGTCTTTAAAGAACCTTTAATCCTCAACGCTGTTATTGCATGGGCCTTTTACATCAAATTTATAACCTTTAGAATGAAAATAAATGAATGAAGAAAATCGAGGAATATAAAAGAAAGATTTATGACTTACTGTGCTTAGGATTTTGACAGTTGTACATATCACGGTGACATAAACTTGTAAAGTTCATTCCTCCTTCATTATTATTCATGTTCACTTCAGTGTGAAAGGCACATATTATGTTATCTGTCTCAGGACAGTAATAAATACATTCATGAGCTCCTTGAATTTTCAAAAATGCATAGAGGGCCAGTGTTAATGCGACTGCTGCAAATACTGAAATGAAATTAAAAGGGTTGGATTTGATATGTTTTTGGAAGGAGCCGTTGACTTATTGTGTTCGCTTTTTTTGGAGGGGAGGAAGTTTAACAAGTGAACGAGCTTTTAGCAAAATCTTGTTCATTTTTGCCTGAAAAGCACAAGTCGAATAATCGAGTTATTTCGACGTGACGAGAAATTCGCTCTTAAATCGCCCGTTTGTCGTCATATTCTAGGATTTCGTCTCAATTATCCAACTTATGCTATTCGGGTGGGTTCTTAATAACCGTACCTTTTGTCAATTATTTAAGATTGATTCTGAGTTATTAGATTCCATCCATAAACTCGAATGGCACAAGTCGGATAATCGAATAGAAATCCGGTGCCTAGCCAGAATGACTCTGTCATGGGGGTATTCGGGAAATATTACCCGAATGGCACAAGTCGGGTATTCGAATAAACTCACACCAGCTTGGTGCCTGATTTCTAATTAATTAATTGACTTGTGCCATTCGGGTTAGCATTTGAAATCGACGAATAAATAAAGGAAAATTAAATCATTGAAACAAACCCCCCCCCCCCCTCTTAAAAGTTTGTCATCATTTATAAATGATCACTGACAATCGAGATTAACCGAATGTAAAGATATGCATAAGGATTTAGTGACTTTTAAGGATTGAATTACAAAATAGGAATTTCAAAAGCATTGCAAACAAAATTCAGATTTGCTATTACGAGGTAGATTGCATCATTTCCTGCAATTTGCTTTACAGAACAACAATTTTCACATCAGACAACCTGAAAATCTATATTTAACTTATGGATACGATAAAGTAGGACATCTCCGTACAGAAGTATTTCTGCATTAGTCATTCACATTATACAATTGCTCTCAAAAGCGTGCATCAAGTGATAAAATGTGTCCCGTATAACTTAGAGCATACTAAATGCTTCTTTAAAAGCTTTGTCAGTTTGAATAATATTTTAAATAAATTTTGTCTGCACTCGACCGTAAAAATACATCTCATAGAAATCTCTTACCAAATATCGCCATAATGCCAACGAGAACGGAGTATGAAATTTTCATTTTTATTTGATGTTGATGCTTGTCAAAAATACTTTAAAATTGAAATTCATATTCACGAGTTGGCTCTATTGAGGATTTCTTTTTTTAAAATTTTATAGCTTAACATTTTCTGACATTTCCTTTAACACAAATTTATAGCATTTTTCACTAAGGCAACACACGAGTTTTAAATTTTTTATGACATGTTTTTTGCACTCCTACAAAATGATTTCATATGTAATACTGTAACGTTCTTAATAGTGGAATTAATCATTGTGAAAATTGCCAGTGACTGTTCAAACAAAGTTTTATTTCCTCAGTTTTACACAGTTCCGCATTAAAGTGGTTTTAACGAGCAAAAATGTCGAGAGCACTTGAAAGTTTGTAGTGATTTAAAATGCGATTTGGAATTACCTGCACAGCAGCATGTTCAACAACCTTTAAAAAAAACTTACACAGCAGACCTTTTTCATGTCGAAAGAACTTTCTCAAAAAATGACACTTTACTGTTAAAGGAATCTGGAAGGAATCTTTGTGTAGTCATAAAAAAAGATTTCAGATTTTTTTTTTGTTGCTATTTTTGTTTTTCGGGGATGAAAAAAATGAACGAGGAAATTTTTTTTTGTGGAATGCTAAAAATTACAAATATTTATTCAAAGAAAAAGAACTGGCATTTCATGATAATGTGTTGGAATAAAAAATCTTTTTGCGTAAAGGGATTTTTTATTTACAAAAATTTCAACAATTTGGTAGCGAAATTTTTTGGGTGCTTTATTGAGATTTTTTAAGCTTTGACGGCTCGAGCTGTGTTTTGCTGGCTTTTGAATTTAATATTATTTATTTTATTTTGCTTTCTTTAGATATTGGTTGTGAATTAGACCCAATACTATTTAGCATAAAATTACAGCTGCACTAAAATTAGAGCTATACTAAAATTACAGCTGTAGATTCCAGATGTACTAACGTCGTTACGTAGAAATCAAATTACAAATCTAATTAACAGCCGTTCAATCTTTTTGGAGAAGGAAAAATCATAGTCAAAACTAGCGGAATTCACGAAAAATTACATCAACTGTAAGTACAGCTAAGCACTTGTCTAAACTATAAACACCATCTGTATTTACAGCTGTATTTTATTTTCACACATTAAACTACAGCTGTAAACTTCATTTATTATCTTGATATTAACAATATATTTCTAAAACATAATCTTCGTAATCATCCTTTAAATCTTTTTACAATATGCGCTCTATTCATTCCTATGACTTCTAATTCCTGTATCTTTTCTCTACCGTAAAAGAAGTCCCGAAAAATTGGCTTATTGTGTGAGTATCATGGGAATCTTCCTCTATGCATCACAATAATTTCACTTAAAGTTTAAAACTTTTCTTGAAGTCTTTTGCGTACAAAAGTTTCTGTATATATTTATGGAAATGTCACATATAAGTAAGGGGCTGTTCATAAATGATGTCTCCTGGGAGGGGTGTTTAAAGATTTAAAACCATAGATTTTCTTAGAATTCTTTTATATTCGAATAAAAGATTGTTCTTTACAGTTGTCATTAATGAACGAGGCCTTAGCAAAAATTCTTAAAATTCTTTTAATTGAAAATTATTCGCCATTTTTATTCAAATTTTAATTTCATCAAGTATGAGCTGGAGTGTCTTTCACATCACAATTGCATTGTTGTGTATGTGTCATTCATTAAGCTGATTTAATTTTAAATGAAATGAAATAAAAGGACGGTAACCCGTAGGAACGTAATATGCACAGAACTTTATGGAGTTCTGCATTTATGATGCAGACATAATAAAGTCATATTTGCCATTTCCACATCTACTGCTTCAATATAGTTGTAGCAAACGATTATTGCCACAAATTTACATAGAATCTCATGATAAAATTTCTGGTCGTAAAAATTTATGTGCTTAAACAGAAACGCACGAGCAAAGATTTTTTGTTATTCAAATTAATGCACAAGGAATTTTATGTTGCGTGATATTTTATGCTATATTACATTTGATATGTTCTTTCAACAGGTTGGAATTTAATCGAGACAATTAATAATTGAAATTATTCAGAATTTTCTAGATTATACAGAATAATCAGAATAACGGAAATGGAATGAAAAATATTCAACTGTAAAGGAGTGCTTTAGTTGCATTCAAAGTATTTTAGTAATTCATTTGCTTTAATTGATTTTTACTTGAAATTTTAATGCATTTAATTTTATTGGGAGCGTGTTGTAGACAGGGTTGATGTTTAAGGTTTGTTTAGTTAATGATGAACATCTTTGTAGCTGCTGTCTGATTGCACAATAAGTAAAACATGCTAGAATCATTTGGAATCAAAAATCCATTGAAAATGATTTAAAATCTTCAAAAAATCCTGCCAATTGTGAATTTTGAAACTTTTAATCTTGCCTGTTTAATAATTTTGTAGTCCATAACCAAATGAATCGCAGTGCCTCCAGCTGAAAGGTTGGGTCCTTCACACATTATTATTTTTACAGTCGTCCATTTAATGCATACGCTCCTGATTTGAATATACCTTTTGCAATCCCTTATATTAAGGTTTTGTGCATAAATCACACGAAATGCTGATCACTTAATCATTACATAGATCTGCAGCTGCCTACTAAAACTATAATAATGATTTGCACTAAACTAGAGCATTCACAATGCATCAACGACGACGCGAGATTAGTTTAAAAAGCATTGGCATAGAGAGGCCTGTGTGAAGTACGACGGTCCAAGTTAACGTACTTCACACAAACCTTAAGGAGCCAGTCGATATGATTTTTAACGTCACATCTTAAAATCCAAATTTCAGCAACTCGATCAGCAAACCAAAAAAACTCTAAAAAGAATAACAAGCAATCAAAAGCACATCCAAATTAAAACTCGGTTACAATTTAAACCTTGCCCATCCCACGAAAAAGCTTCAACAATAATTTTATTTCCAACTTTTCACGATTAATTTTAATTACAATTCAATTTAATCGATTTTACAGCAGTCATCAACACTCCCTCGTGTTCAGACGAAAAATAGAAATTGATTAAAAATTTATTTTTAATTTGTCTTAAGAAGACAGCTTTACTCACTTCAATCCGACAGAGAATAAACGCGAACGGATTGAAAGTTAATGTGAATTATATCAATAATTTAGAAGCAATTTACTTTAATTTATGCATCCTTTTCAAATCTCGAATGAGGAAAACTAAAAAAACATTTTTTTTTCAAATCCATCCTTTAACATTGACTTGTGTAAAAATAAAACTCGATTACAATGCTTTTACATGAGCGTCTCTTAACAAGGGTTGCTTATTTTAAATATCAATGGAGAGGCTATGAAAAGAAAATTTTATAGCCCATTTTAGTGATTATGTTAATTAAAATAATTATCTGTCTATTCTTTGCCGTTTTTCTGTATTGTATTGTGATTTGATCGCTGTGGATGGGGAAGTTCAGGGATTGGTTTTCACTTTTTAATGACTTTTTATGTCAATTTAATTTTTTATGGCTTTAATTTGATTATTTTTTTTGTCATTCTTTTCAGCTGATTTTTAATTTATTTAAATTTCCTTATTTCATCAATTTTTCAAATTTTTTGATAACTTTTTCATATTTTTTGAATTTTAAATTTTCAGTAATAATTTTTAAAAATTTATGAATAATTTTAAAACCAACTCAATTGAAAACTAGGCCAAAAGTCTAATAAATTTAGTATCAAAAGCTTCTGTTTTTCATCATAATATTCCATGACATTTACAACACACCTACATCGACTCAAAAAGTACAAAATATATCCTGACAATAACAAATGAATAGGCTAGTCATTTTTGATATTTTCCCCTTTTTTTATCATCCTGGTATTGTTTTTGATTTCCTGCTTATAAATATCCCAAGAGTTATCGTAAATAATAAATGTGAGTAAGACATAGAACCGCCTATGGGATTTGTCATTTCTTGTTTATTTCCATGGAAAATTTTCAATTCCAAGTAAAATGAAAAGTCTAGTTCTGGATGAGAGAAACTTTTTTGGAAGAGATTTTTTAAAATTTTAGTATCAACAAAGTCTATCAAGCCTTTACTTGAGAATTGGGTACAGCAATGTTGATGCATTAACACTCTCTTAGAGAATCTACAAGAGTTCGTTTCCAGCTTTTATTTTCATGACCTTAAGAAAATTATAATGAAATTACTTAAATTCTTGAACTGTTAAGGGGCTGTTCACTTATTACGTTCGCATTTTAGGGGGGAGGGGGGGTTTGAAAAATTGTAACAGGATGTAACATAGGGGGGGGGGGGGGGGGGGTGTCAAGAAGTATGTAGGGTTTGGGACATTTGCCCACTGGCTTTTGCCTACTCTACATATGCACACTGACATTTTCCCACTGGTACTTTTGCCCACTGGTACTTTTACCCATTGATACATACTGTAACGTTCTAACTGGCGTCTGTCTTTTAAAAAAAAGTTCACGAAAAAAATTTGTTTATAAATTCACACCAAAAACATTTTTGTAAATTTTCCACCTTTTTAATGATAAAATAAATTATGAACGTTCAGGGGGGGGGGGGGGGGGGGGGGGGTTGTGAGTTGTAACATATTGGAACAAGGGGGAAGGGGTTTTTTGCGTAACGTAATAAGTGAATGGCCCCTAAGGCCATAGACAAAGCTCGAAGTCCACGAAATTTTTTATGGAGTCGACTCCACCATACAAAATCGGTTAAAAAATCTCAAGTCGAGTTATAGGTCATAGAACATCGAAGATAGACACATGTCTCCGCGTACCCTTCCTTTTAAATTTGAAATATAAGAGCCCAAAATCAAAGAGATTATCTAGCCTAAGCATTTAAATAATCCCCTTCATTTAAAAAAGCAGCTTTAAATAAACTCAACCTGATCTCAATACAATCGACATATAAATCGACAGAAACAACTTAAAACACTGTTAATCTCTCCAAAAAAAAATCCATGTTCTTATATCCCCTCCATAAAAGTTTCCTTCACCTTGTCAACACCCAACTCACAGTAAGAGAAAGAAAATGTTGTTCCATATCAAATAAAAGCTTTTTTTATGTTCTCGCTGACTGTTTAAATATCTCAAAAAATATAAATAAATCAGAGATGGTTCAATTCCTCTTTGTTATTCAATTGCGTGATATAAAATATTTACATTATCTTTTAAATTGAAAAAAAAGAGAAAGAAGAGAAAAGAGAAACATTAAAATTGAAAATTTACATTTTACAGCCATCCAGTTTTCATCTGTCGCTTAATTGTCTTAACATCGTCAATTTTATTAACCGGTCGTAATGACATGGGTGGAGAGGAAGCAGCTTTATTTGCATCCATAGAGGGATCTTTTGATGTTACAAGTTTTTCGGTACTACTATAAGGAATTGTATCGACAGATGTAGCAACTGCCATGTTCTGTTTCTCTAATTCAAATTTCGGTTGCTCCTTCGGTTGCTGTGCCTCTGGCTTCTCTGTCGTTATATTCTCTGGAGCTATCGTTTCTGACGAAAGCAGTTTTGGAGATGGTAGCGGTGTTGCGGGGGTCGTTGATAAAGTCGGAATCTGTACTTGATGTTTTACTTCTTCTTTCTTTGGTGGAGGTGGGATCATGCCTTGATTGATTGGAACGTTTGGTGCCGTTGGACGTGAGATGGAAATGTCAGTTGTTGGAACCGGTGCTTTACGTTTCACGACCTTTGTTGGACTTGATGAAACAACAGGTGGAGATTGTGGTCTATTTTTATTTTCTCCATCGGGACTGAATGAAATTAATGGCTTTGGTAGATCACAAACTATTTCTTGAGCTTCGACGGCAATGCTTGTTTCTCCATCTAAAGTTATCTCTACAGATGGCGTCTTTAAGATTCCAGTCGTTCGTTTTGATGTGTGGACAGGCGAAATTGGTGGTCCAGGATTTACTGTACATTTTAAGCTATCAATTGATTTTGTTTCGTCAAGTGACTTGCTGCTTTCTGGAGTTGGTGAGCGAGTTCTGTTAACATTTATTGGTTTCGATAATGGAGATTTTGATAATTCAAATTTGCTTGGTGATTTTGGTGATTCTGATTTTATTGAACCCGGTGTGTTTGGTCTAGACTTAGCACATGTTGGTGTTTGACATAATTTTGGAGATGATGGACTTTTAGGAGTCTGTGGTGAGTCTTTAGCTGGTGGTGGTGAAAAAACTCTTTCTTTATTGTTCGATGGTCTGCGAAGATCCAATGTTGTTGGTTTTGGTGATGTTGCTTTTTGTTTTGGTTTCTCCATTGTCAAATTTGGCGAAGCTGCTTTGCTATTAATCAATGACTGGAGTTGAACATTCAACGAATGCAAAGGTGTAACTGATCGATTCTTAGGTGTTGGAATGTGTAAAGTTCCTTGCGGTGAAAATTCGTTTATTTCTTCAGATATATTCTTCAGTAACTGAACTAAAGTTTCATTTGTTTGATCCACGATGCTATATTCACTGTGGCTTGGAGATTGAGGCAATGGTGAGCGCTCAATAAGCTTTTTAGCTTGTTCCATAGCTTTAAGTAGATTCTGTTGATTCCTAAAACTATCACGATTTTTGCATCGACCAATTTGACTATTTGCCTCAATTGTTGCACTTCTAATAACTTCACTCCATTTAGCAGTAGTAGATTGTGAGGCGACCTGCTTCGAAATCCTTCTAAATCGATCAAGCGGATTTTCAACAATATGTGTAGCTGGCTCATCAGACACTTCTGCAATTTCAACAGGTGCAACCTGAAAATCTTTCATTAATCGACGCTCCCATATTTTCATGCGTTTAGCAAGCACGGCTGAAAGAAATAAATTGAAATCGTTAGCGTGCAATCGCCAACACGATTTATGAGCACAAAGGAAGGAAAACGGCACGTTAATCTAAGGATGAAAAGATAACAACAAATATTTACTTTTCTCTTTTCGATCAACACTCGAAATATCCATTCCATTCTTCTCGAAAATTGCAATTAACTCATATCGCATGGCTGAAATCTCTCCTTTGACCTCATTAATGTCATCCTCTGTAACGGGACTCTCCTCAAATTTACGATGCATTGCAGATACATAGCGCCATACCAATGATCTCATTACAGCTGTATAACGATTATCTCTATCGCGTTCTTCCTTGCGTCTCTGTGAATACATAATGAGGAACATGTAACTAATAAGTTTGATTGATAGATGTTTAGAATTTAAAGGGAAGGTTGGTACTTCTAGGATGAGATGAATTTTTAAGTATTCTGCTTGAAATTATCTTTAGGTGGCTTTAAATATACTCTCATGGCAACTTAGGAGATCCAAATATCTTAGAATCCAAATTTCTTAGGGTTGTATCTAGCCTGAATAGTAAATCTTAATTAAATTCTGCACCTAGCCGACATGACTCTGGCATGGTGCTGGTCTCGATTTAAATTAACCGACTTGGTGCTGAATTTCTGATCTATCAACCGACTTGTGCCATTCGGTTATTAACCTAAGGACTTTCACGTTCATCTTCTATGCTCCCTAATAAAAATTTTCAAACTCTAGTGGCATAACTTAGTCGACTTTTTTCCGTTTTGATTGCATACTGCCACACGATGTCAAGGTATCTTGATCACGGTTTTCAGTCTGCAGAAAATTAGATTCGCCGCTTATGTAAGTTCCGATCCATGATTCAATAAAAAGTATTATAGCATGTGTTTGTATTTGTAAGGTTTCAAGAATCAGAATTTATTGCATGAAACCTTCACATAAAAATTGAACCTTTAAGCAGAGTTGCGAAACAGGCACCTGTGACAGGTGAGAACCCTACAATTTTGATAATTTATAAGGTTTTTCTAACAAAACCATACAAATTATCAAGGAATTGAACAGTTCTCACCTGTCACAGGTGGCCTGTTTCGCAACTCTGCCTTTAAGTTCAAAGAACCAGTGAAATTCTTAATAAAATCTCAAAGCATTCAAAAATCAAATAAATGTTTCTTAACTTTAAATATCGATCGAAACGCACAAAATTCAATTGAATAGAACATTGTATGCCCTTTAAGCCACCGTTTCGTAAACATGTATTCCTTTTTTAGAACAAGACAACAAAAAAATAAAAAGCACGAAAGCAATTTATTCAATAATGCCTCGATAAGCGATGGAAAGAGCGAGAAAGAAGGTGAAATTATCCCGCATCGTAACTTGTAGGGATGCTTACTACAAATTTTGCATAAAATATACTTACGATGGTAGATTCTCTCTTAATATCACGCTTTGTCTTTGTTCTAAAGCATTTTGTAAAATGTTTTACATTCGGAAATATGTTAAATGGTGGCGGTAATGTTGCTGATTCCTCAAAATACGACATCCATAATTTCGTACGAGCAAATTTCCATTCAGTATCTGAATGTTGTTCTATCATTGCGTATGAGTTCGACATCTGGAAGATAAAAACAAGAATTATATAATTTCATTGATTGTCGCATTGAGTCATTTGTACGAACCATGGCAATAAGAAGGTTCAATAAGACGATTACGTTAATCACCTATGATATGTAAGAAAGAAACAATGACAGAGAGTAAAAGATTATAGTGATTTAAGTAGGGATCGTTTCATAGATATTTTTATAATACATACACTGTATGATCCGAACATTAAAAGACCCCAGAAACGTGTGTATGTCTTTATGCCAAGCAATTCAAAGTTCTCCAATCCAACCATACCGAATGATGCCCAGAACAGAGACTGAGATGATTCAAATAGACTGCGAAAATTCAAGGCAAGGAGAGAGAAAGAGCAAGACAAATTTGGATGAGATAAGGCCGAAATAGATTTACCGTGAAATTACTTTTCCTTTTTTGTAAAGTAGCATATACGTAGCTATTATATGACCGCATACTTACTTTCCAAACCGACGCCATTTCATGCATGCATCGCCATTTGTATCCCAATCTGGTAAACCACCTTCTAGGCTAATGAAATTTTAGACAATGAGAAATAGATATTAAAGAATAGTTTCTTGGGGATATTTAGTATATTTTGCTGACAAGGCATGCCTGGCTTCATGAATTTTTTGAAACGAGTCGTTCTTAGACTTTTCAACGGAGCCATTCACTTATGACGTCCGACATTTAGGGGGGGGGGGGGGGGGGTTTAGGATTTTGTGACAGTTCAAACAATGTAAATTTTTTTCCATAGAATTTATCTGACAGAGGAGGGGGGTCTAAAAATCAGGTTTTTTGATGGACGTCATAAGTAAACGACCCCAAAACAAATTCTTGTGTCTATTGAATTTTAATCAAGGGGATAACAACATGATTCGAGAAATATTTATGACAAAATCTTTTCTCTTCAAGTTCTTATCCCCTTTAATTTTAATCCTTTCAAATTTTTGGTAGAATATTCATGAAGCCACATAACAGGCACTTCTCGGTAACACATAGAAAAATGCACTTAATTTTAATAAGAATTTATTGCCATGTGCAATTATTCGATAATTTATAACCCAACCTGTAGCACTTTGCCTTCTCCAAATCGGCATAATACCAAAGTAACTGATTCAGACCTTTTTTATGGAATAAATTAAAATGATAATTGCTTTGAGTATTGTAAAGGATTCACAGAGTAATCACAATTTCTAATTACCACATGCGAAGGCAAACAGAACCAATGTGTAGATAATTAAGAATTTTATGATGTCTATAACCATACGACCGAGGGAGATCTGCAATGGCCCCAAATGAGGATTTATTGAAAACAGATGGATGAGTTTAAGTGCTGAGAAGATGTTGGCGGCAGCAAATAGACCTTCAGCCTGTCATGCGAAGAAAAAGTTAATGAAATTACAATACAACAATATGAAGTCACTTACTATAAGTTGTGGATCAAAGTCATCCCAGTTCTCTCTAGGAACGAATGCGGTTTGTGAATCTTTTCTAACTTCATTCCACTGCTGGAAATAAGCAATTCCACGAAGTATAAATACAAAGCAGTAAAGTGAATTTCTACTAAAATCAATGAAGTTCCACATGTTACGTAAATAATTCCTGATTCCTTCTAAATAAATTTCTTGTGTCTCTTCCCATATAAAGCCAAGTACGTAAATGACAACCAGGATTTCCAGCGGCGTAGGTGGATTACCACGTTGACATTTCAATGATTCTCGCATTGCTTCCTTCATCTTCTCCGTGCCAAGTAGTAAAACCACTTGAACTTCCGCACGTTGACTGACAAGAATCAAAATAACTAAGAAAAGATAAAAGTAAGACGGCATATAAAAATAAGGCAGTGGCAATAAAAAATGGAAGTAAAAGAGACAAATAACATACATAAGAAAAATAAGTACGATGAAGCGTGAATCAAGAACTTCATAAATGGCTTTCTCATAATTTTTGCTGAATGGCAGAATGGAAACAGCATGTACATGAGACAGTAGAATGGAAATAATGCAGCAACTTTTGTGATAATAAAAATTTTCTCGGCTGCTGATTTACGACGAAATCCGGGTACGCCTGAATAATAATAATAATAATCATATTGATTATGTTAATGCATGTTCCGATTAATATGTTTTCGTTTCTCTAATACCTTCATACCACAATGATGCTAACAATTGTTGAATATTCGGATGAGCAACAAACTGTGAAAGGGGAAATAAATATTGTTGTTAAAATGAATGCTTCATTTGCAGATGGGTGTGCTAATAGAACAAATTGAGGACATGTGCTGTTGACATTGATTATTTTTCTATGATTAAGTGTTAACTAGGTCTCTGACCTCCAAAAATAGACTTACAGTTGCATCTGAGTTATTTTTGACATGCATCTTGGTTAAGTAAGTAATAACACTACTACCATGCACATAAATATGGCCTCAGGAGTTAGGAGTCGTTCATGACTCTACCTTAAAGTCAAAGCAAACCTATTTGGGACACATTTAGTCAAACAGTAGACTAGACCAAGGATCAATGTTTGTGAAACACTAGTCTATTGCAGTGGTGTTCAACCTTTTATATGCCACGGTACATCTTGGTGTAAAAGTCATGACCAAAACAACACACGACATACGGTTCGTAGAATTTGCGAAACACTACTGTGCCGAGGCACATAGGTTTGCCATCACAGGTCGATTGGATCATCATTGAATCAAATGCACCTATTCCAAATCTACTGGCACATCCAACATTACATTTAATGCTGTCGAATTTAGATTGATCCAAATTCAGTGGAAAACATTTCAAGATATTGAAACTAATCCTAATGTGTAGTCAAAAAATAAATATTCCTATATAATATCAACATAAATTATATTCAGAATCAAAAATTCAACAGCACAAAAAGAATTCAGACAATCCATTTCTTTCGATCGATAAATAAAAATTCAATTTGTTTATGTATATAGATTAGGCACTGTTGCATGTAAACATACATATGCCATTCAATCGCTCACGAAATAACCTTACCTTCTTCTGCTTATAATCGATTGCCATTTCTAATCGCTTCAATTTCATATGATCTCCATCCACATAAGGCGGACTCTCTGGGTCGTAATTCAAGATGATTGCCAGCTCTTGTGATGAACGTGTTTGGTCCAATAAATCGACGGCAAATTGTTGACATTGTTTTCGTAACTCCAAATATTCTGCCTTACATTCTTGTTCAGCAAATGCCAAGTTGCGTAATTCCCACGACAGCTGAATGATAGATGGGAAAATTGTTGAAATAAGTTTTTTTTGCCTTCCTTATTATTATTTCTTGTGCCTTTTTTATGTTTAAATAGCGAAGAAATTTTTCTGGCCACATTTTCTGTATTAGAATTGGATGTTCTAATTTGGATGGGTCCGGGAAAGGAAATTTGATTGAAATTTACATTTTTATAGACATGGACTTGCTTGTTTTCTTAGAGATGAGGATAATAATGTTGACTGTTCATTGAAACAACTTGAATATTTCTTAGGAAATGATTTATTTCCTTATTTCCAATTATTTAAAGGCTGTTGAATCTTGTTTTTTTGTTTTAAGATTCAAAAAGAGGTGCATCTATTTAAAGAAGGTAAATAAATCAAGTCTGTTTTGATTCTATCCAATTTATGCTTCTATCCTTAAGTTTCTTTTGTGGCTTGATTATAAAATTCACAACCTTAGAACCCCCAAAACATAAAAATCTAATAATCCAATATTTTTTCATCATGATCTACTTTAGGGGCTGTTCACTTACGACGTCCGACATTTAAGGGGGGAGGGGGGTCTAGGATTTTTTGACAGTTCAAACAATGGAAATTTTTTTTATAGAATTTTTGTGACAGAGGGGGGAGGGGGGTCAAAAAATCAGGTTTTTCGATGGACGTCATAAGTGAACGACCCCTTATCAACTTTTTTACTTCTTCCTCCGAGTTCTTATTGCATTCAACATGATATAGGCAAAAAAGTCTCAAAATATCGATTCCTATAAATCTTTCCATATCAATAGCTATCAACCAAAAATAATTTTCTCGTTTTTCTAGACAAGATTAATTTGCACTCGTAGCCTTTACTGATTAGTTCCTCATTAACTTTTCCTTCTCGTCCACCTCAACGAGGAAAGAAATCTTGTTGAAACTTTCCAATAAAATGAGCTTTAACGTTTGTATTTAATCAAGGAGAAGAAATAACTGTCATTGAATATCGAGAAAATTTCTTATTTCATATTATGTGACCAGTCTTCGTATACATCTACAATATATGAGATTATTTCTTATCATACCTGAAATGCCGTTTGCAATGGATCAACGGAGCTTAATGCAATTAATGATGGACTTGCTAAAGCACGATATTCACTGACTCTTGATAAAGAGTGACGTAGGGAATCTTCAGATGACTTCCGAATGCATTCATCGCAAGGGCATTTTACATCCTGTTTGAACGATAAATTATTAAAAATTATTTATTTTATCCTAACCTCAATTTTATCAAACAAATTCAAGTCAATATTCAGTCGTACTATGTTCTGTCGTGTGAATAAATCATTAATATCATTATATTTTCCAAAAACAGTAGTTATTTTGATAATTTTATTGTTAAAGCTTGAACACCCATATCTGAGCAATTAGCAGACAGAAACAAAATAATCTTATTCTTATTCGCGCTTGGCTATCAAGAATGAAATACGTTCTTAACACGAACATTTAATCATTCTGTTGGTATTTTGTGTATAACAGGTAAAAAATGGGTGTAGTATATACACTTCAGGTGGTCATGAATAAGCTTTACAACAATCTGTTCATCATCATAGAGTCACTCCTCCAACACATGGGATTTGAGTGTAAATTTACATAGTTGATGAAAATTTCTTGCTGTGAGATTAGTTTGGGAATATTTTTATATCAAGTGACATTTAGTCTGACTAGTTCTATGACTGATAACTGGAATTATAATTGTGTATATTGTTACTATGATAATATGGTTAAGATTGATTTGATTTATTTTTGATATGGGTTTGAATTTTGGGGTGTTGACTGTTAATTTTTCATCAACATGTGAGGACATTAAGCATGTGGATATGAGAACTCAAATTTATGTGGTAAGCTTTCAGTTTAATTAGTAGAAAATCCTTGAACTTGTTAGAATATTGAAGAGGCATGTGAAATTGAGCTTATGTTTAAAATTTCATGGTTTCATATGCTGGAATTGGCAGGCAAATTAGCAAATATTTGTCTTGTGGGGCTACTTGTCTATATGTGACTGAGTATTTGGTTGTAAATTCTAATGTTAATTAAGAGGTTGACCATTTATTATTACTGTTTCATGACTTCTGACAGGAGTTTATATAGAGGCAGGAGTACTTCATCAAGTGAGTTAACTTGGAACCTAATAAATTTATTTATTTCTAACATGCAGTTAAGTGCCTTGCTGGTCGAATAGGTAAGGCACTTGGCTCAAATTTGGTATGGTAACTCGAAGGTCGTCGGTTCGAATCTAGCCATTTCCAAATTTGTTCTTTTTCAGAAGTTTAGATACTTCGACTGCTTAATGTACGAGATAAAGCCATAATTGGGCATTTTGGGCAACGTTGGATTAAGGAACGGATCAGGAACTTGAAGTGTAGCGGGAGAAATAGGAACGAGAGCTACAAGATTACCTTATAATAAAATATTGTCAGAACGGACCTGAAATGTATCACGTCACGCCCACAGAAGATTGAAACGAGAGCCTGAATTTAATCGAAACCTAGATTTGAAAATTAGAAGCTTGATTCTACGTCACTCATGGTGATATCAAATGTATCACTAATCAAGGTAAAAAGTAAAACATGTATAAATACTAATTCTTCCGGACGATAACGTCGACAAATAAATAGTAATAATAATTTCATATCTGCCTTCTCTTCTCAAAGCAATAAGACGAATCAATCATCTTCATCAGGTGTAAAAAAAATTCAATAAAATTGCCAAACTTCCTATCCATATAAGAAACATTCCATGCTATCCTTAAAAACTCTTCCGCAACTCTCACCATTCATTATCGAAATTGACGACATTTCTCTTTTATTGAATACTTATTTACGACTTTTGATTAGATAAACGTAAAAAACTATTAAAATTAATTTTCTTTGGTTAAAGTAAACATGCAATGAACAGTCATCAGATAAAAATTATTGTGTATATAAAAAAGTTTTCATTCAAGGTGTCTATCGATTTTCCGTAATTTTTTATTGATTTCACGTGCAGTGTTTATTGCTTATAGAAAGTCTGCTGTTTTCGCTATATTAAATTTAATCTTGACCTAGCATTCACTATATAATCTATCAGTTATAAACTGAAACCAGTCTGATATATTACGCTGTAATTAATATACGCTATTCATCCATAAAGTCATTATTACTCACAATATAAAAACAAAATCACTAATGGTTGAAATTAGACATAATAATGAGGTATAAACCACAATAAAGCAATTAATATTCAATTTGATTAATTAACACGGAATATATGTAAAAGAGGATATTAACATGTGGCTGTGCGTGTTGCTCCTTGCTGGTTTTATTAATGTTTAAATTACGTTTTAATTTCCAGTACAATTTCACAAGTCATTTTAATCAATTTTTAAAGTAACAATTAAATCTTATCACTACTACTACTGGTTACTATACAAGTACATACGTGTGGCTGTGGAAGTGTTGCTCCTCTGTCAAGAAGCAGCTTGATGATCTCATAATTGTTTTTATGAGCGGCAAGAATTAATGGCGTAATTTCACGCGCATATTGAGCTGTATTGATATCAACTTTTTGCCATGACTGATAATTGTTCACATTTTTCCAAGGATGAGGACGTAAAAAAAGTATCAAGAAAAATCAATATTTTGGGACGTAATTGCCTTTTAGCATAAAACAATGTGACTTACATAAGGCTCGCCTTCCTTATGAATTAATTCTTCATGCTCCAATAGCAATTCGACCGCTTCAACAAACTCTTGATTAATCGCTTCAAGTAGTGCATCCTTTGTTTCTACACCCATAATAACGAGTAATTCTACCATTTCTAAGTTTTCGCCATCAATTGCGAGCGTGAGTGCACCTCGACCCAAAGAGTCAACACAATTTTGATTGATACTGGTGTTTCTCAAGGCTTTTTGAAGCATTCTGTATGTATCGATGAACATAGCAGGTATTAAATTAATTTTTTTGGGGAAATTGAGAAGAATTAATTGCATGATGGTCTGCATGGATCATTTTCAATTCTTTCTTAAGTATTTGTGATATTTTAAAGTAACCTTTTTTTTTGATTTTTTTAACTAGCAAACCGTCGAAATAATTTTGAATCATTAAACGCATGCTAGTTGAATGAGTGCCTATTAAAATAACGAATTTTAAAATTTCGAAACTTCATTTTTACGAACTCTCATTTTTACGACCATATCATTTTTACGAAAAATTATTTTTTCGACTTTTTTATAAATTTCAAATTCTAAAATGTCGTTAATTTCATCACGTGTTCTCTTCAATAATAAATCTGCAAAAAAAAGATTAATAGAACAAATGTTTTTAAATGTATGGAATTAAAACATATTTTTTATTCAATATCACATTTCATGGACTATAGTGTATGTTTAAAGGAGTAACAAACACAATTAAGCTCTTAAATCATTTTTGACTCCTGCAATAGCCTTTGATGTTTCAACTCGTGGCACGGATTTTCAACGGTTCAGGATTGATTTTATGGAATTCTCTGTCTTTTCAAATCCTGGTATTCTATGCTTTTGTGGCTTTCCAGCCTTTGTGGCTTTCCAGGTTTTGAAAAGACAGAGAATTCCATTAAATCAATCCTGAACCGTTGAAAATCTGTGCCACGAGTTGAAACATCAAAGACTATTGCAGGAGTCAAAAATGATTTAAGAGCTTAATTGTGTTTGTTACTCCTTTAAACATACACTATAGTCCATGAAATGTGATATTGAATAAAAAATACCTTTTAATTCCATACATTTAAAAACATTTGTTCTATTAATCTTTTTTTTGCAGATTTATTATTGAAGAGAACACGTGATGAAATTAACGACATTTTAGAATTTGAAATTTATAAAAAAGTCGAAAAAATAATTTTTCGTAAAAATGATATGGTCGTAAAAATGAGAGTTCGTAAAAATGAAGTTTCGAAATTTTAAAATTCGTTATTTTAATAGGCACTCTAGTTGAATGCCCCTTTTTGTGATTTTTAGATTCATATTCAGACTTATTTACAAAAGTCGTAAAAAAAGAACTTTAATTTAATTATTAGACATTTTTGTTGCTACACAAAATATTATTTCATTAAATTGGCATTCAGTTAAGTCAATAAATGCTCAATCACATGGAAAATCTCATTACTTTCAAAGCTTATTAGTATTTTTCGTGAAAAATTAACTTTTTAAGCCATTAGAGCACAGAATTAATTTATAATTAAGTTACATATTTATAATAAAGAAGCATGAAATCACAATTCACGTCTCAACACTATGTATTTTAACGTGCATCCAGACAACCTGCATTAATCCTTTTTCGGTATAATTATTTCTAACCTTCGGACGTTTGCAATATCACCACGTTCAACGGCAAGTAGAAATTTCTTTTCCTCAATTGTTAGCGGTCTAGTAAGAGGATAAAGTAAATAATTGTATTGAATTGTTCAACTTTAACGTTGTACAAAAGAAAAATTGGTAGACTCACTGTGGCAAATGTCCCATATCAATATCATAATTAATCCGATCTGGGGTTGGTGATGGAGCTTCTATCTGAAGCCCCACCGAGCTATTTTTCTTTTCACTCATTATATTACTTCCCAATACAATGATATTTTTAATTAAGTTGAATCAACAATTATTAAATTTTCTGCACGATAATAACGAATAATCATGAAATATCAGTCACTATTTAAAGCATTTAAATCCAGAGTGTTTAATTTATTATCCTCAGTTAATGAAATTTGATATCCATTCGACTATAATTATTATTTCACATAATTTTATTCACTTTAATGAATTTTACTTTATTTTTCTTGACCCTATTTTGTTTTATATTTAAATAAATTTATAATTTCACTGAAAAAAAGATGAAAATTCACAAACATGCACGCAACAATTATATGGAAAAATATTCACTCTAAAAACCTTTTTTTTTGCTTTAAAATGACTTCGATGAAGGCAAAATGCCATCAAAAACAGGAGAATTGTTGACCAGTGCTTTTATACACATCATGCTGTAATTTAATTAGAGGGAACTATACAGGATTAAAAAACGTTTTTACACAAAATGAATTAGAATATAAAGAGTCACCTGTAAGTGGCATTTTTCAACATGACTTTGTGTCATTGTTTTGTACTTTTTCCAATTTTTTTTTGAATTTTCGGAAGGTCGAATTAAGTTAAAATTTTGGATGATTTCTCATCCATTCGACTAATTTTTGTTAAAATTTCCGGGCAGAAAGCAGAATAATGTTTCTGACAACTGTACAATCCTACATAAAAAATTTCCAGTCGCTGGGTTTTTAATATCAAAAGCATTTTCGTCCAGGAAACATTGTGGATTTAATTTAAAACCGATAAAAATATCGAAGCATAAATTCATTCACTGTTGTCATAACCGCATAGCTTTGGGGGCATATTCGGGATAAAAAAAAATCTCAATAATTCTTTTAAAGGTAATCAATATCTTCAAAAGGACAGCATAAATTATTTAAAAATATCCCAATATCTAGAGCAAAAGTTCATTAGTAATTGAGAAGTTAGGATAATATATTTTTAAGGTTTATTTCTACTATAAAATTTTTTTTGATCAATGTGCAATTACTAGGATACAAAAAGTTAAAGAATTTATTGTCCTTTATCCTGATTATATGACAAGTGGCTGTGTTATTTTAACAGGGAAATCTCATATTTCCGAATTTAGAGGAAATCAATTTGATAGTCTATATTAAAAGGAAGTAAATTGAACGTGGATCTGTGAATGCAAAGTTACTGTAAAGTGACTGTTACTAAGCACTTCATCCTTCCGTCGACATTACTACAATCAAACACAATGCTAAAGACCTTACGTAGATTTAATTACAGCTTTACTTTAAATTTAAAACACAGAATGTGGTTTTACACAAAGTAAATGAGACAATGTCCATAAATTAGCATAAAACTTTCACCCTTTTTCTAAAAAAAAAAATTCAACAACATAAAGTCCTAACGTCATTACAATATTAGTTTGAAACAAAGTTCCTTCCAAAAATAGAACAAGAACTACACATGAATATTTCATTCTAGAAACTTTCTCATGAAAACACCTCCGAAAATTACATTTTCTGTTCATTTATTTTTATGCAAAACACAAGTCTTTTTAAAATTTCCTTTTATGCTACTTCCTGACTTTTTAACTTTTTTTGTACATTTATTTTTTGTCAAGCACATTGCAAAAGACATATTAGAGATAATTTGCATCTAGTCATAACTGACAAAAATGATTTTTCATTTCCTTTGCCTCATCCGAAGATGGTTTGAATTTTAAAAATATTTCGAACTATAGGGCTGTTCTTAAATGATGTCGCAGTGCTCGAAGTTGACTTGATAGATTTTGTATGGCGAAGTCGACTCTAAGTTGACTCTTTTCAAAATTTCATTGACTTCGAGCTCTGCTAGAGGTTCGTTCACTTATTACATCCATGAAAAAATAGACTTCCTTTTAAAATGTTAAGAAGGATCCTACTTAGGTTTATAAGGTTTGTGAGTATAAAGGACATAAAATGTAAAGGACCCCTAATGATAAATTACTCTAATTCTTGCAAAACATTAACATCAAAATACTTAATAGCATTAATTCAATTCCAATTCATAAATCATAATCTTCTTTAACAGAAATCAAATATTTTTATGATAAATGAACACAATTTTTCATTGAAGATGAAAAATAAGTTCCTGCAAAGACATAATTTGCATACAACTAAGGCGCATTTGAATTGTCATCCACCAATAAAATTAAAGCATTCAACAAATAAAAAAGCAAATGCATAACAAGTTGCGAGAACATTGAGACATAAAATAAATACAAAAAACTTTGTTCGCTATCTTGTTCGACTCAATATCGAGGGAGAGACATGGCAGTTTAAGTAAACACGAAATCAATCGCTCAACAAAAATGAACAAAGTTTGTTGTATAAATTCATGAAAAAATGTGACAACGCATAAATTATGTAAAGAACTTCGCGATTTTTAAAAATATTTTTGTTACGACATTGAACTTAGCATTTCCACAACAGCTTGAATGGCTTTCAGGGTTGAAAATATGTGTCGTACGTGGTGATGAATGTTTACTTGTTGATTAGTAAATTTTGTTTTTTGGTTGTGATAGAAATTTGCGAGAAAAGTTTGCGTCTTTATGATGGTTAACCTCAAATTGTTTAATCAAAGACATACTTTGTGGATTTAGAGTTATAAGTCGCGGTAATGATGTCTTCTTACTGCACTATAAAGTAGCATTAAGTCCTCAGGATTTCTTCTATCTGGTGGATTCTAAGAAAATGTTCATTCTTGCCTATTCTGCCTTGAATGAGCTTCTACAAATACATATTGTATCTTAAAATTTAAAACATCCTCGAGAAGCACAATGTGGTCGCGAAGACACCTCGTTTGTAAGAAATTAGACAGGAACAAAATAGATTCAATTCAGTGTGCTGTTTGAGATCAACTCTGAGTCTTTTCTTTTGCATTAAATAAATCTCAAAGAAGACTCAAAGACATAAAAGTAAAAAAAAAATCAATTAAACCATACCAAAAAAAAAAACAAATTAAGAATGCCTCCAAGTGCTATGGTCAAGTACAGGTCAAAAATGTTATCAACTTGAAAACTGACCCAAGTAGCACAAGTCGTTACGTCAGCAATCAAAAATCCATTGTCAGAAAAATCGTCCCTAAGTCGCCGTTACGTAAGATTTCGTCTCGATTATCCGACTTGTGCTATTCGGGTGAGTGATTCTTTTATGAGATTATCTGTTGATGATGAAGATTAGGGTCATATTTTTCATAAAACGAGAAAGAAATTGTCACTTTACGTTAGACTTCCTCTCCATATTCATGATAAATACTTTTTTTTGTGTCGTAAAAAATTTATTCTTTGTAAATGTGGTATCCATCCATATGTTGGTTTCTGTGGGAAGCTTCACAACATGAAACATATTATATTTTTAGAATAGGAATGAAGACGAGTTTTATTGATTATTTAATTCCATATGTGACATGTAAAAAAGGGAATCGATCGACCATGTGTTTACCATTTGCAATAAAAAATCACTTTAATGCTTTTGTAATAATTAAATGTCACGTGAATATTCTCCATAACTGCTATTGAACATAGCTGGAGTCTATTGTGCAAACAAAGAGCAACAATGTTATTTGCTAATTCACTTGTGGTGCTTTCTATTCCCCTTACAATAATTTTTATAACTTTTTCTCACGTATCAAAAAAGTGCTCACTTAACAGGAATAATATTACAAATTTATTGCCCAGGCAGTTACTAGTCCGAGATTTCATATCACAGATACAAAACATCATAAATTATTAATGATTCTACGACATTTAATACCGAATGATCCAAGTCGGTGTATCATGAAATATTTATGATAATAACAATTGAGTTAGGTCTGTCAGACAATAACTCATGTTCTATTAATAGATTATATGTGGAAATGTTAATTGCAGCACATTCAAGTCAATTATAACTTAAATTAAAATTAATTCTTTTAAAAACTTTCGCTATAGTTGTCAGATGTGAGAATTTAAATGATTTTGTATTCATGCTAATTGAGGGAATTATGTGTGACATCCTGTGTGACATGAAAGCTGTGCGATAAATCACTTGGAACATTTTCAATTGCAGCTGATTGCTTTTACTGAGAATGTAGGCAAAAAGAATCTTTACAATGCATACAATTTGGTAGAATTTTTATTTGAAAATTTCTTGGAACTTTATATCAATGAGCACATGAGAATCAACGTCAATTTATGATGGAAGCAGCCTTGAATGGAGCTTGAAGAAATTTTTATTGCAAATTTGATCACTTGGTTACAAATTAGAATATTACAACGACCAAAAAATGCACAGTTGGCTGGTTCATCTTAGTAAGGTAATGAAACAGTTCAGTTACAGTGCTTAATACTTATAGCTGAGTACTGCTATAAATTTACAGCATTGTTTTGCAATTATCCGGTCCAATGATAAAAACTTTTTTCTACAAAATGCAGTAAAGCTCGTTCAAAAAGACAAATATGCTGCAGGTAACATCGTTGTTGACTCTTTTGGGACCAAAAAATGCAGTCGTCTTGAAAGAGCTTAATTCAAATTTTACACGGTCAATAATTATGAAATTATGGAGCAGAACGTAAAGGAACTGAAGAAAAAGGAAAGCAACTGTCCTGAATAAAAAGAATTTCTCCCGATCGGCACACGTTGAAATTCATTGAAATGTTTGCCATTGTCAATTTGCTCCCGCTTGGTTCTAATTATACTATGAACCCGGCTGCTGCTGGCAAACATTCCAATGTGTGCCGATCGGGCTTATATCCTCAAAATTAATAGAATCTGCAAAATCTAGCAAATGACTTAAAGATTTTCATTATTTTCCTCTATTTAACAACAACTTAATAATCTCATTTAAAAATTTACAACCATGAAAAATAAAAGTTCTATTGAATAAAGAAATCCATTAAGATACCATCAAGAAGTGCATTTTATACCAAACAGCATTTTATAGCTTTAGCGAAAAAGTACTAAATAAGATTTAAAGTTCAAATTTATTTTGCTGTGGGATTATTCTCGATATTTTAATAATGTCGATAGAAAACCATTAAGAGAAATTTGCATTTAAATGTACATTCACGGGACATTTAAAAGCTTAAAAAGGCACTTCGTTTAGATTTTATCAGATCTTTATTAAAAAATAAAGAAAATTTTCTTTGAGTAACATTTTATAAAGTTCACAACAAAAACGAAAGATTGATGAAAACCTTGAAGCTCATTTTTATGTCTCATATCTTTTTCATCCTATATAAATAACCAGAGGCATACAAACATCCAAATTGAACTTTAAAGAACTTTTTCTTTTGTTGCCAATTAATTCTTAATGTAACCTGTATTTTTAGATGTGTGTAGTATAAAGTAAGGTGGTTGGTGGGTGTATCCTATTTACATCATATTTGTTTTAAATTGCATCTTTGACTCTTTGGGAGTTGTTCATAAATGACGTCAATTATAAGCTGTGATTTTTCTACGCGTTAATTTGCCTAGAAACGAGCTGAACACTTTTAAAAAATATAAGAATCCTCGCCCACCATTTACAAAGTCCTTACCTAGCAACTGACACAATTTTCTATTAATTCTATCAATTTCCCAATAAAAAAATTACCAACTCGTTATTCCACCGCAGATTTATTACAGGCAATTAACAGAACCGATAGAAATTTGAGATACCACCTAAACGAAAAGGTGTGTTGATGCTTCTTCTTCCCATCCGGTTATGTTCATCGCATAAATTAAAATAATGTAAACAGTGCTATATCATATTTCATGAACCGTTAATTTACTCAACTGTAAATATTGCTAATTTGATGACCTTTAAATTTGCAGATCTGACAATGATTGGAGTTGATCGGTTGTATTGGAAATAATATTAAGGAGCAGCTTTGAGCATAAATGTTCCTGTGATTAAATCTCAGATATAACCTAGAAGTACAACTAAAGATGGTGGCAGTGGGTAGAAAGGGTGTCAAAACTCCATCGTCCAATAAAAATATATATTAAGCTTCGCATTTGCCGTTTGTCTTACTAGAAAAGCATTTGTTTTGTTACGAACCTGCTCCTTAGTTCTAAAATGACTTGACTCGACTTTCTACGCACAGATCAGTTGTGATCCAGGACCTCTCTTTGTCGTTACCTAAAACTAGCTCTACCGCTGGCTACCGTCTGCTAATTGCCGATTCCAAATGCAACACTATCTCTATCAACAGCCTCTTCCCATAAGTTTATTTTTTGCCCTTTTTTGGCTCATTTTAAATCCAGCCTTAATCAATGTTTAATCCCTTCACCGTAACAACTGAATTGTACAATTTATTTTGGAAGCTTCACAAAACTTGAACCAACCATAACCTAAGTGCTACAAATATTAAAAACAATTCCTTTAAAATTTGAAGTCAAGTCCACAATCACACACATTATTTTCTTAAACCACTTATAAAGCCACACCAAAAAGTTCCTTCCATTCAATTTCTTTCTTGAAATCCTTAAATTTATCTTATTTTTCATCAAATAAAAGTCAGATTAGAAACAAGAAATAAAGAGAGAATGAAAAACATGTTTTTCGAGACCGCTTAAAACCGACAATCCAAAAATAAGAAAGAAAATGAAAATTTCTGCGAAAATTCACATTCACTTGTTTTTATTTTTATTTTCTTCTCATTTTTCATCGTTCTTTGTGCCTTTTATCACTAACCGCCTTCTATACCAACCGTTTTCATATTTTTTTTCCTCAAAAAAGTGGATTGTAGGGAGCTTAAGATAAGCGAAAATGAAATTGTTGAATGAGATTTAAAACATTTACTTGTTTGCAAAATGCTATTGTGTATAATTTGTACATACAAGCTATATTGTTGGGAAAAAAACCACAAATTGCTTTGGAAACGTTAAACAGTAAATCCTTCGTATTCATGCCGTTTGCTGTGCGACAGGTGTTGTTTTTACCTGCAAGATAAAGTATAAAAAACACGACTTACGTAGAAAGTCACTAGCTTCCGCGCTTGACTTATGTTCAAGCATATCCAGTTAGATTACAGTTCTTATTATTATTATTATTATTATCTTTTTTATATTATGGTCCGTATTAAAATTAAAGGACCTTACTTTTTCCAATTATTTCATCATTTTGTAAAAGGAAAAAGTGAGGACGCACTTAAACCTTTCCATCCGGTTCAGCAGAGATTTCTTTTGTTGCCTGTTTTGCTTCCAGATCTGCTTTCTCATTTCCAATTATCCCGACATTCCTGGGAATCTACATCAATATAATCTCAATGTTTGGCTTTTTAATTTTGTTTTGGATTTCAATAATTAATGGATGCTTTGTATCGCTGTCTTGTATTCCATTTACTGCACTAAGTGAATCAGTACATGTGACAATTTTTAATTTTCTTGTCCTTTCTGCAATTTCTATTGCTTTGACTATAGTGATTAGTTAAGTACTGTATACGCAGCAGTAGCTGTTTTCTCAAAACTTTCTGTCAATCTCGTGAATGGAACCAAACAGTTCTTATTTTACAATAATTTCGGAAGCGTTCGTTCTTTGCAATTCATCTAGATTTGATTGGTTTAATGAAATTGCCAAGTATAAGCAGCACACGAGTGGCTAGAGCTTTAATATAACAATGGTATCCAAAGCATGACAATTTTAGCGAATAGCACATTACAAAATGAGGATTATTTATATAATTTCTAAAGAAGTCACAAGGAATAAATTAGGTTTAAAAGATGTCAAATGAGATGCAGATAAGATCGAAGAAGTTTTAAAAAGTAATAATGAAGAACCATAAAAATCTCCAGCATCAATATCGACAAAAAGATGTATGGCTTACTTTTCCATAATGATTGAAGATTTGTTCACCAGCTTTGACAGGCTTTTCCAAAATGGTAACAATCTTATTGTCAACATTCATCGAACATGCATCGTTAATGCAGGAATGTTTGATCAGACTTGAGAAAAGTGAAATGTGATTACCAATTAAGATCATATTTAGATCTCACTCATTAAAATTCATGTCTCGTTGATTCAAATTGTAAATGTTTAAAAGATGATCAGAAGAAAGATGATAAATGATGATTAATGAAAGGAAGCAGTGCATGAGTTTGGCTTTGTATTCTATCTCTCCTGGATTGCTCAAATCATTGTCAAAGATAGTCTTTTTAAAAGTCTTCAAGTCAGCACGAATGATGAATATCAATGTAGCTAAAGGGACGATACAAATTAAGAAATTATGGATTTAAGACATGATTAATCAGTTCTTACCAGTCTTATGACAAGGAATCAAATTCATTTATTTTGATTTGAAGCAGTTGAAGCAATGGAAGTAAGTAGTGTAAACGTTATGCCTAGTTCTATTGTTGAAGTAAGCATCTTCAACACAAACTATGTCACCAGCTTTCAGATACTGCTTAGCATAAATTCTACGACCATACTTATCTGTACGACGCATTTCAACACAGTCAACAAACCACGGGATCTTCTCATTTGCTGGATATCACATTTAAAAAGAGTCCCAGAGAGTGTCAGTCTTCTTATACTTTAATTCACTTCGATTTCCATAAGCCAATGGTGCTTCATTTTATTTTAAAGCATAGAGCCAGTTCTTGCCTTGAAAACAATCATCAAAAAATTCGTTACAATTTTGCCTGATTTGTATGCATATACATAGTTAAACATGATTCTCGTATATCCATCAACGATAATCTTAAAGCTGTATCTGTTGGATTTGCATTTTAACGAAAATTGTAAGAGTCATATAGAGTCATAGCATGCGAGAAATTTTATATGGAATAATGAAAAAAAATTGAGTTCAGTTACCATTGAAAACTGTTGAAAATAATTTTTTTCTTCATATTCAACAATCAACATAGCGAAGAAAATGCAAACAAGCAAAAGTTCAACGATTCCAGCCAAAACGATGTCAACGAGTGTATCCTGTACAAAAATTTCAAGAAGCGAAATCTCATCTCGGAAGATTTCTTTATCAGCAAGTGTTTCAGCATTCAAGGTCAATTTACCAAAGATAAGCTCAACAATAATTCCTTCGAAAAAGTTATCACGTTCGAAAATTCGTCAAAGCGAAATTCTGGATACAAAGAATTCTTTGGGATCCTTGCATGCAACAAGGATAATAGCAACTGAGGTGCCAGAATCAACGAGAATGCCTCCCAAGAAGTTATCCAGCACGATGATTAAGCAAAGCAAGAGCTCAGCTTTAGCTTCAACAAGGACTTTAGCTGATGGGGTGTCAGCATCAACAAGAATGCTCTCAAAATCGCCATCCTGTTTGAAGATTCCGGAATGCAAAACGTTGACACCAAAGATTTCCTTGCCAGTTATGACTTCAACGAGGATGTTAGCACATAAGATGTCATCATCTTCAAGAATTCCTCAAAGGGAAATTCTGGATACTAAGAATTATTTGGGATCCTTGCATGCAACAAGGATAATAGCAAATGAGGTGTCATCATCATCAATACAGCCTCCAAAGAAATTATCCAGCATGATGATTGAGCAACGCAAAATGTCGACCCGCAAGATTTCTTCATTAGCCGTGCCTTCAACTGGGATCTTAGCAAATGAGGTGTCATCATCAAAACAGCTTCCCAAGAAGTTATCCAGCACGATGATTAAGCAAAGTGAAATGTCGACCCACAAGATTTCTCCATCAGCCGTGCCTTCAACTGGGATCTTAGCAAATGAGGTGTCATCATCATCAAAACAGCCTCCTAAGAAGTTATCCAGCATGATGATTGAGCAACGCAAAATGTCGACCCACAAGATTTCTCCATCAGCCGTGCCTTCAACTGGGATCTTAGCAAATGAGGTGTCATCATCATCAAAACAGCCTCCTAAGAAGTTACCCAGCGTGAAGATTCAGCAATGCAAAATGCAGCCTATTAAGAATAAAGCGATCTCAGCTGTGCCTTCTTCGTCAAAGATGTTTTCGAAAAGGATGAATTCAAAGAAAATGTCGGCCGTAAAAAGTTCTCAATCATGTTATCGTAAAATAATTCAAACTTCACCGCATTTCAACGTTATTGATTTGCCATACGACCATGACTTGATTGTAAGTATTCAATACATTTATTGAGTCCAGGAAAAGTATTTGAACAGGAAAGCTTCATACTATAATTTTATTAAACTTCCAGAATAATTCATAATTTATGTTATAATTTCTTTCCTCTTTTTCCAGTTTTCTGATCGCAAAACTACAAAATTATATCGAGGATTTATGACTTATTTCGTCAACGAGTCGTATAAGCTTAAAAAAGACTTCCTTAACTACCTTAGGAGTCAGATTGAATTCGGGATCGAGGACGAAGAAGTGTATCATCATAAAATGAAAAGATTCTTGGATCGCCATCCATACCTTAAAGAGCGATTGGAAGAGTATAGCAACTGGCAAAAACTTAGGAAGCTAGCTGTAAGTCATCGCATTTTTATTTATTTATAAGATATAATGCTAATGCTTATTATTATTTTGTTGTTTTAGGATTTGACATCTCCTGCACTTAGAGATAATTTCAGTTGTTTGCTAGAACACTTTCAAGACAGTCCTTTTAAGATCAAGAAGGAACTTTTAAAATATCTTCAAGTTTGGGATCAATTTTATGGAAGTCCCAATTTAAATGCTGAAACACGCAAGATTTTTAATAAATATCCCGGACTCAAACGTGAACTCCTGGAGTACAATGTTTTGGTCAAAATCCAAGACTGCAAGGTAAGGCAACATATTTTGAATGCACCTCACGTCAGGGTGGGGAGATTTTTTGCGATTTAAACGCAAAACGATCGCAGCATTTATTTTTGATTTTGATTTAAATCTCAATGAAAAATGATTTTAAAAAGGGATTTTGATTCAAATCATTTTACTCAAGTGATTTTTTTCTCGATTTTGATTTAAATCATTTTTGCAAAGGGATTTTTTTGGTGATTTTGATTTAAATTTTTTTTTATGGAAGATTTTTTTTTTGGGATTTTAAATGCTGTTTGACTTACACGAAATCGAATTCGTGATTTTTAATCTTCTGTGCCTTGCTGCTTACATTTAAATAACTTGACTTCATCAAGCATGCCTGGATCTTACTCTATATGAGGAACTACCTGCTTTCATTGCTTTTAAAATCTTAAATGAACTGCCTAGTTCCTTTACATCCACAAAAATTTTTTTTTGTTGCTTTTTCATCAAGGAATCGCCTCTTGAAGTCAAAAATTTTTTGTGGAACTGATCGGTTCCTTTCGTACTTAATGATCAAATATGACTGAAAATCGTGCTTTATACTTATTATATGATTAGATAAACATACTTTGCAGTCATCCAGTTGCAAGATTCTGTCCGAAAAAGGATCAACTGCATTCTTACTTATGAGGAACTGCAATTGAAAACTGTTGATTTGAAAAATAATTTGAAATATTGCATACAAAGATTTTATATGGAGGGATTTTAAAATCCGAAAAAAATCTTTCATACAAATAATTTAAATCAAAATCACAAAAAAAAAATCCCTGTGCAAAAATAATTTAAGTCAAAATCCCAAATAAAATCATTGCAAAAAGATTTTGATTTTGATTTTTGATTTAAATCACCCACCCTGCCTCACGTAACATCTCCTTTAAACCCTTGTTTATAATCTATCAATTGTCTGTTGTTTTCATCTTAATTGGTGTTCGAATCTTAATAATGTTAATAATTCTTGTTTTGTTTATTTTTCAGTATGTCACATTAAGCAGTATTAATAGCAGCAGACGTGTATGTCCAACTCTTCCACTCAAATCTCCTGGATTTATAAGGTCGGTGAAAAAAATGTTTTCTTGGGTTCGTAGGAAGATCACGTGTGCAAATTATTAACTTTATTAATGGGAAGAAGGTCGATCTTTTTTAAAGTAAGGGATGGAGGTTAGTCTTGTGAGTGATTGGGTGAGGGGTATAGGTTGAAATAGGGGTGTGAGGGGGTAGGGGTTGGGTAGGCGAGAAGAGCATAATCAAATCTATATGGGAGTTGCGCCCCATTGACGCCAAGGGAAGGGTTTGGGTGATTGAGTGGAGGGTATAGGTTGAAATTGGGACTTAAGGGGGTAGGGGTTGGGTAGGCGAGAAGAGCATAATCAAATCTATATGGGAGTTGCGCCCCATTGACGCCAAGGGAAGGGTTTGGGTGATTGGGTTAGGGGTATAGGTTGAAATTGGGATTTTAGGGGGTAGGGGTTGGGTAGGCGAGAAGAGCATAATCAAATTTATATGGGAGTTGCGCCCCATTGACGCCAAGAGAAGGGTTTGGGTGATTGGGTGAAGGGTATAGGTTGAAATTGGGACTTGAGGGGGTAGGGGTTGGGTAGGCGAGAAGAGCATAATCAAATTTATATGGGAGTTGCGCCCCATTGACGCCAAGGGAAGGGTTTGGGTGATTGGGTGAGGGGTATAGGTTGAAATTGGGATTTTAGGGGGTAGGGGTTGGGTAGGCGAGAAGAGCATAATCAAATTTATATGGGAGTTGCGCCCCATTGACGCCAAGAGAAGGGTTTGGGTGATTGAGTGGAGGGTATAGGTTTGAATTGGGGTGTGAGGGGGTAGGGGTTGGGTAGGCGAGAAGAGCATAATCAAATCTATATGGGAGTTGCGCCCCATTGACGCCAAGGGAAGGGTTTGGGTGATTGAGTGGAGGGTATAGGTTGAAATTGGGACTTGAGGGGGTAGGGGTTGGGTAGGCGAGAAGAGCATAATCAAATCTATATGGGAGTTGCGCCCCATTGACGCCAAGGGAAGGGTTTGGGTAAGGGGTTAGGGGTAGAGGTTTGAATTGGGGTGTGAGGGGGTAGGGGTTGGGTAGGCGAGAAGAGCATAATCAAATCTATATGGGAGTTGCGCCCCATTGACGCCAAGGGAAGGGTTTAGGTGATTGGGTGAGGGGTATAGGTTGAAATTGGGATGTGAGGGGTAGGGGTTGGGTAGGCGAGAAGAGCATAATCAAATTTATATGGGAGTTGCGCCCCATTGACGCCAAGGGCTGGTTTGGGTGATTGGGTGAGGGGTATAGGTTGAAATTGGGATTTGAGGGGGTAAAGGTTGGGTAGGCGAGAAGAGCATAATCAAATCTATATGGGAGTTGCGCCCCATTGACGCCAAGATAAGGGTTTTGGTAAGGGGTTAGGGTGATTGGGTGAGGGGTGATTGGTTAACGTAAGGGGATTTTTCTTTTTAATAATATGGACATAAATGAATTTCAATGGCGCGTTCGAGTTTTTTATATAATTTTTATCGAACGAGGCTAATCCTCTATAAAAAGGGCTTTGAACTTTTTAGGAATTACAAGAGGGGGTTGAGGGTGGGCTGTCCAAAAAAAAACATCACTGTTAATCTGTCCGTCCGTGCTAGTGGTAGGGGTGATTGGGTGAGGGGTAATTGGTTAACGTAAGGGGATTTTTCTTTTTAATAATATGGACATAAATGAATTTCAATGGCGCGTTCGAGTTTTTTATATAATTTTTATCGAACGAGGCTAATCCTCTATAAAAAGGCTTTGAACTTTTTAGGAATTACAAGAGGGGGTTGAGGGTGGGCTGTCCAAAAAAAAAACATCACTGTCAATCCGTCCGTCCGTTTTATGCGGTTTATTAATTCCTTTCTTTTTCAGCATTTACTTTACTTTGTATTTCGTGAATTCCAATTCTTTCACAACAAATACTTCCGGGCTGCTGCGAGCCATAACAAGATCTTTACCCAATAAATCCTGAACGTGAGCTCTCTATTCATGACTCCAAGCCATGCCTTACGGTGTTACAGCTTGTTCTTGTTGGTTTGGAGGGGACGTAAAGGCCAGTGGTACTGAAATTCGTTGACTCAAGGCGGCATTGATCTTTATAGAGGCGCTTCCAGATGGGTCGCACACCCTTAATGATAGATGCATCACGGCATTTAATGTAACCCGGTGATGTGTTTAATTTACAGTTTTTGTCAAAGTTGGTAAAACTTGGCTATCCTGTAAGTTGCAACTAAGTCGTCTAACGAAAGTTGTTTGATTTAAGAAGGAGCGTATCACTGAGGAATTCGACCAAAAATTGATCATTAACCAGGGACTCGTTCTGTTGACCTTCGCGAGGTGAGTCCTGTGATCTTTTCTATTTCGATAGAAAAGAGGCCGACAAACAGAAGTTGTGAATTGGATTGGATATTTTCGGAATTCAAAATGTTTGAGTTTCAATTATTATAACTCGTTTTTCAATTCTTGAAATGTGAATTTTTCGTCTTCAATTCTTGAAATGTGAATTTTTCGTCTTCAATTCTTCAAATGTGAATTTTCCATATTTAATTCTTGAAATGTGAATTTTTCCTCTTCAATTTTGAAATGTGAATTTTTCGTCTTCAATTCTTGAAATGTGAATTTTTCCTCTTCAATTCTTGAAATGTGAATTTTTCGTGATCAATTCTTGAAATGTGAATTTTTCGTATTCAATTCTTGAAATGTGAAATTTTTGTGTTCAATTCTTGAAATGTGAATTTTTGTTTTCAATTCTTGGAATGTGAATTTTTCCTCTTCAATTCTTGAAATGTGAATTTTTCTTCTTTAATTCTTGAAATGTGAATTTTTCGTATTCAATTCTTGAAATGTGAATTTTTCTTCTTTAATTCTTGAAATGTGAATTTTTCGTATTCAATTCTTGAAATGTGAAATTTTTGTGTTCAATTCTTGAAATGTGAAGTTTTCGTATTCAATTCTTGAAATGTGAATTTTTCCTCTTCAATTCTTGAAATGTGAATTTTTTCGTATTCAGTTATTGAAATGTGAATTTTTCGTCTTCAATTCTTGAAATGTGAATTTTTCCTCTTCAATTTTGAAATGTGAATTTTTCGTGATCAATTCTTGAAATGTGAATTTTTCGTGATTAATTCTTGAAATGTGAAGTTTTCGTGTTCAATTCTTGAAATGTGAATTTTTCGTATTCAATTCTTGAAATGTGAATTTTTCCTCTTCAATTCTTGAAATATGAATTTTTCATGATCAATTCTTGAAATGTGAATTTTTCCTCTTCAATTCTTGAAATGTGAATTTTTCTTCTTTAATTCTTGAAATGTGAATTTTTCGTATTCAAATCTTGAAATGTGAATTTTTCTTCTTTAATTCTTGAAATGTGAATTTTTCGTATTCAATTCTTAAAATGTGAAATTTTTGTGTTCAATTCTTGAAATGTGAAGTTTTCGTATTCAATTCTTGAAATGTGAAATTTTTGTGTTCAATTCTTGAAATGTGAATTTTTGTTTTCAATTCTTGGAATGTGAATTTTTCCTCTTCAATTCTTGAAATGTGAATTTTTCTTCTTTAATTCTTGAAATGTGAATTTTTCGTATTCAATTCTTGAAATGTGAATTTTTCGTATTCAATTCTTGAAATGTGAATTTTTGTTTTCAATTCTTGGAATGTGAATTTTTCCTCTTCAATTCTTGAAATGTGAATTTTTCTTCTTTAATTCTTGAAATGTGAATTTTTCGTATTCAATTCTTGAAATGTGAAATTTTTGTGTTCAATTCTTGAAATGTGAATTTTTGTTTTCAATTCTTGGAATGTGAATTTTTCCTCTTCAATTCTTGAAATGTGAATTTTTCTTCTTTAATTCTTGAAATGTGAATTTTTCGTATTCAATTCTTGAAATGTGAATTTTTCGTATTCAATTCTTGAAATGTGAATTTTTGTTTTCAATTCTTGGAATGTGAATTTTTCCTCTTCAATTCTTGAAATGTGAATTTTTCTTCTTTAATTCTTGAAATGTGAATTTTTCGTATTCAATTCTTGAAATGTGAAATTTTTGTGTTCAATTCTTGAAATGTGAAGTTTTCGTATTCAATTCTTGAAATGTGAAATTTTTGTGTTCAATTCTTGAAATGTGAATTTTTGTTTTCAATTCTTGAAATGTGAATTTTTCCTCTTCAATTTTGAAATGTGAATTTTTCGTGATCAATTCTTGAAATGTGAATTTTTCGTGATTAATTCTTGAAATGTGAAGTTTTCGTGTTCAAATCTTGAAATGTGAATTTTTCGTATTCATTTCTTGAAATTTGAATTGTTCAAATGCGCTAAAGTCACTCGATCAACAACACGAAGACTTTTATAATTTTTTTGATGATGTTTGTGAATCGATTCCTAAGAAGATTTAAACGCTTTAATCTCCCAGTTATTTTTTGATTTAAGGCTTTAAAAAAAGTAAGAGCAAATAATGTTTTGTATGGAGATTTCGCGAAAATCTTCGATCAAGCACTACGTTCTCAAAAAAAAAAGTTCATGGAAAGCGCCATAATTTCCGCCACACTAGACGACAAAGTCTAAATTTTGACATATAAATCATTACTTTTGGATAAAACGGTGGACCTGTAGGTTGGGTGACAAAATTTGACCGACATAAAGAAACACCTTCCATGTTCCACGCGGAAGCTAACAACAGTGAAACAAATCACATGAAAATTGTTGTGTCTAATCAAATTTGATAGTCGAGAGTGATGAATCAGTACATGTGACAATTTTTAATTTTCTTGTCCTTTCTGCAATTTCTATTGCTTTGACTATAGTGATTAGTTAAGTACTGTATACGCAGCAGTAGCTGTTTTCTCAAAACTTTCTGTCAATCTCGTGAATGGAACCAAACAGTTCTTATTTTACAATAATTTCGGAAGCGTTCGTTCTTTGCAATTCATCTAGATTTGATTGGTTTAATGAAATTGCCAAGTATAAGCAGCACACGAGTGGCTAGAGCTTTAATATAACAATGGTATCCAAAGCATGACAATTTTAGCGAATAGCACATTACAAAATGAGGATTATTTATATAATTTCTAAAGAAGTCACAAGGAATAAATTAGGTTTAAAAGATGTCAAATGAGATGCAGATAAGATCGAAGAAGTTTTAAAAAGTAATAATGAAGAACCATAAAAATCTCCAGCATCAATATCGACAAAAAGATGTATGGCTTACTTTTCCATAATGATTGAAGATTTGTTCACCAGCTTTGACAGGCTTTTCCAAAATGGTAACAATCTTATTGTCAACATTCATCGAACATGCATCGTTAATGCAGGAATGTTTGATCAGACTTGAGAAAAGTGAAATGTGATTACCAATTAAGATCATATTTAGATCTCACTCATTAAAATTCATGTCTCGTTGATTCAAATTGTAAATGTTTAAAAGATGATCAGAAGAAAGATGATAAATGATGATTAATGAAAGGAAGCAGTGCATGAGTTTGGCTTTGTATTCTATCTCTCCTGGATTGCTCAAATCATTGTCAAAGATAGTCTTTTTAAAAGTCTTCAAGTCAGCACGAATGATGAATATCAATGTAGCTAAAGGGACGATACAAATTAAGAAATTATGGATTTAAGACATGATTAATCAGTTCTTACCAGTCTTATGACAAGGAATCAAATTCATTTATTTTGATTTGAAGCAGTTGAAGCAATGGAAGTAAGTAGTGTAAACGTTATGCCTAGTTCTATTGTTGAAGTAAGCATCTTCAACACAAACTATGTCACCAGCTTTCAGATACTGCTTAGCATAAATTCTACGACCATACTTATCTGTACGACGCATTTCAACACAGTCAACAAACCACGGGATCTTCTCATTTGCTGGATATCACATTTAAAAAGAGTCCCAGAGAGTGTCAGTCTTCTTATACTTTAATTCACTTCGATTTCCATAAGCCAATGGTGCTTCATTTTATTTTAAAGCATAGAGCCAGTTCTTGCCTTGAAAACAATCATCAAAAAATTCGTTACAATTTTGCCTGATTTGTATGCATATACATAGTTAAACATGATTCTCGTATATCCATCAACGATAATCTTAAAGCTGTATCTGTTGGATTTGCATTTTAACGAAAATTGTAAGAGTCATATAGAGTCATAGCATGCGAGAAATTTTATATGGAATAATGAAAAAAAATTGAGTTCAGTTACCATTGAAAACTGTTGAAAATAATTTTTTTCTTCATATTCAACAATCAACATAGCGAAGAAAATGCAAACAAGCAAAAGTTCAACGATTCCAGCCAAAACGATGTCAACGAGTGTATCCTGTACAAAAATTTCAAGAAGCGAAATCTCATCTCGGAAGATTTCTTTATCAGCAAGTGTTTCAGCATTCAAGGTCAATTTACCAAAGATAAGCTCAACAATAATTCCTTCGAAAAAGTTATCACGTTCGAAAATTCGTCAAAGCGAAATTCTGGATACAAAGAATTCTTTGGGATCCTTGCATGCAACAAGGATAATAGCAACTGAGGTGCCAGAATCAACGAGAATGCCTCCCAAGAAGTTATCCAGCACGATGATTAAGCAAAGCAAGAGCTCAGCTTTAGCTTCAACAAGGACTTTAGCTGATGGGGTGTCAGCATCAACAAGAATGCTCTCAAAATCGCCATCCTGTTTGAAGATTCCGGAATGCAAAACGTTGACACCAAAGATTTCCTTGCCAGTTATGACTTCAACGAGGATGTTAGCACATAAGATGTCATCATCTTCAAGAATTCCTCAAAGGGAAATTCTGGATACTAAGAATTATTTGGGATCCTTGCATGCAACAAGGATAATAGCAAATGAGGTGTCATCATCATCAATACAGCCTCCAAAGAAATTATCCAGCATGATGATTGAGCAACGCAAAATGTCGACCCGCAAGATTTCTTCATTAGCCGTGCCTTCAACTGGGATCTTAGCAAATGAGGTGTCATCATCAAAACAGCTTCCCAAGAAGTTATCCAGCACGATGATTAAGCAAAGTGAAATGTCGACCCACAAGATTTCTCCATCAGCCGTGCCTTCAACTGGGATCTTAGCAAATGAGGTGTCATCATCATCAAAACAGCCTCCTAAGAAGTTATCCAGCATGATGATTGAGCAACGCAAAATGTCGACCCACAAGATTTCTCCATCAGCCGTGCCTTCAACTGGGATCTTAGCAAATGAGGTGTCATCATCATCAAAACAGCCTCCTAAGAAGTTACCCAGCGTGAAGATTCAGCAATGCAAAATGCAGCCTATTAAGAATAAAGCGATCTCAGCTGTGCCTTCTTCGTCAAAGATGTTTTCGAAAAGGATGAATTCAAAGAAAATGTCGGCCGTAAAAAGTTCTCAATCATGTTATCGTAAAATAATTCAAACTTCACCGCATTTCAACGTTATTGATTTGCCATACGACCATGACTTGATTGTAAGTATTCAATACATTTATTGAGTCCAGGAAAAGTATTTGAACAGGAAAGCTTCATACTATAATTTTATTAAACTTCCAGAATAATTCATAATTTATGTTATAATTTCTTTCCTCTTTTTCCAGTTTTCTGATCGCAAAACTACAAAATTATATCGAGGATTTATGACTTATTTCGTCAACGAGTCGTATAAGCTTAAAAAAGACTTCCTTAACTACCTTAGGAGTCAGATTGAATTCGGGATCGAGGACGAAGAAGTGTATCATCATAAAATGAAAAGATTCTTGGATCGCCATCCATACCTTAAAGAGCGATTGGAAGAGTATAGCAACTGGCAAAAACTTAGGAAGCTAGCTGTAAGTCATCGCATTTTTATTTATTTATAAGATATAATGCTAATGCTTATTATTATTTTGTTGTTTTAGGATTTGACATCTCCTGCACTTAGAGATAATTTCAGTTGTTTGCTAGAACACTTTCAAGACAGTCCTTTTAAGATCAAGAAGGAACTTTTAAAATATCTTCAAGTTTGGGATCAATTTTATGGAAGTCCCAATTTAAATGCTGAAACACGCAAGATTTTTAATAAATATCCCGGACTCAAACGTGAACTCCTGGAGTACAATGTTTTGGTCAAAATCCAAGACTGCAAGGTAAGGCAACATATTTTGAATGCACCTCACGTCAGGGTGGGGAGATTTTTTGCGATTTAAACGCAAAACGATCGCAGCATTTATTTTTGATTTTGATTTAAATCTCAATGAAAAATGATTTTAAAAAGGGATTTTGATTCAAATCATTTTACTCAAGTGATTTTTTTCTCGATTTTGATTTAAATCATTTTTGCAAAGGGATTTTTTTGGTGATTTTGATTTAAATTTTTTTTATGAAAGATTTTTTTTTGGGATTTTAAATGCTGTTTGACTTACACGAAATCGAATTCGTGATTTTTAATCTTCTGTGCCTTGCTGCTTACATTTAAATAACTTGACTTCATCAAGCATGCCTGGATCTTACTCTATATGAGGAACTACCTGCTTTCATTGCTTTTAAAATCTTAAATGAACTGCCTAGTTCCTTTACATCCACAAAAATTTTTTTTTGTTGCTTTTTCATCAAGGAATCGCCTCTTGAAGTCAAAAATTTTTTGTGGAACTGATCGGTTCCTTTCGTACTTAATGATCAAATATGACTGAAAATCGTGCTTTATACTTATTATATGATTAGATAAACATACTTTGCAGTCATCCAGTTGCAAGATTCTGTCCGAAAAAGGATCAACTGCATTCTTACTTATGAGGAACTGCAATTGAAAACTGTTGATTTGAAAAATAATTTGAAATATTGCATACAAAGATTTTATATGGAGGGATTTTAAAATCCGAAAAAAATCTTTCATACAAATAATTTAAATCAAAATCACAAAAAAAAAATCCCTGTGCAAAAATAATTTAAGTCAAAATCCCAAATAAAATCATTGCAAAAAGATTTTGATTTTGATTTTTGATTTAAATCACCCACCCTGCCTCACGTAACATCTCCTTTAAACCCTTGTTTATAATCTATCAATTGTCTGTTGTTTTCATCTTAATTGGTGTTCGAATCTTAATAATGTTAATAATTCTTGTTTTGTTTATTTTTCAGTATGTCACATTAAGCAGTATTAATAGCAGCAGACGTGTATGTCCAACTCTTCCACTCAAATCTCCTGGATTTATAAGGTCGGTGAAAAAAATGTTTTCTTGGGTTCGTAGGAAGATCACGTGTGCAAATTATTAACTTTATTAATGGGAAGAAGGTCGATCTTTTTTAAAGTAAGGGATGGAGGTTAGTCTTGTGAGTGATTGGGTGAGGGGTATAGGTTGAAATAGGGGTGTGAGGGGGTAGGGGTTGGGTAGGCGAGAAGAGCATAATCAAATCTATATGGGAGTTGCGCCCCATTGACGCCAAGGGAAGGGTTTGGGTGATTGGGTTAGGGGTATAGGTTGAAATTGGGATTTTAGGGGGTAGGGGTTGGGTAGGCGAGAAGAGCATAATCAAATTTATATGGGAGTTGCGCCCCATTGACGCCAAGAGAAGGGTTTGGGTGATTGGGTGAAGGGTATAGGTTGAAATTGGGACTTGAGGGGGTAGGGGTTGGGTAGGCGAGAAGAGCATAATCAAATTTATATGGGAGTTGCGCCCCATTGACGCCAAGGGAAGGGTTTGGGTGATTGGGTGAGGGGTATAGGTTGAAATTGGGATTTTAGGGGGTAGGGGTTGGGTAGGCGAGAAGAGCATAATCAAATTTATATGGGAGTTGCGCCCCATTGACGCCAAGAGAAGGGTTTGGGTGATTGAGTGGAGGGTATAGGTTTGAATTGGGGTGTGAGGGGGTAGGGGTTGGGTAGGCGAGAAGAGCATAATCAAATCTATATGGGAGTTGCGCCCCATTGACGCCAAGGGAAGGGTTTGGGTGATTGAGTGGAGGGTATAGGTTGAAATTGGGACTTGAGGGGGTAGGGGTTGGGTAGGCGAGAAGAGCATAATCAAATCTATATGGGAGTTGCGCCCCATTGACGCCAAGGGAAGGGTTTGGGTAAGGGGTTAGGGGTAGAGGTTTGAATTGGGGTGTGAGGGGGTAGGGGTTGGGTAGGCGAGAAGAGCATAATCAAATCTATATGGGAGTTGCGCCCCATTGACGCCAAGGGAAGGGTTTAGGTGATTGGGTGAGGGGTATAGGTTGAAATTGGGATGTGAGGGGGTAAAGGTTGGGTAGGCGAGAAGAGCATAATCAAATCTATATGGGAGTTGCGCCCCATTGACGCCAAGATAAGGGTTTTGGTAAGGGGTTAGGGTGATTGGGTGAGGGGTGATTGGTTAACGTAAGGGGATTTTTCTTTTTAATAATATGGACATAAATGAATTTCAATGGCGCGTTCGAGTTTTTTATATAATTTTTATCGAACGAGGCTAATCCTCTATAAAAAGGGCTTTGAACTTTTTAGGAATTACAAGAGGGGGTTGAGGGTGGGCTGTCCAAAAAAAAACATCACTGTTAATCTGTCCGTCCGTGCTAGTGGTAGGGGTGATTGGGTGAGGGGTAATTGGTTAACGTAAGGGGATTTTTCTTTTTAATAATATGGACATAAATGAATTTCAATGGCGCGTTCGAGTTTTTTATATAATTTTTATCGAACGAGGCTAATCCTCTATAAAAAGGCTTTGAACTTTTTAGGAATTACAAGAGGGGGTTGAGGGTGGGCTGTCCAAAAAAAAAACATCACTGTCAATCCGTCCGTCCGTTTTATGCGGTTTATTAATTCCTTTCTTTTTCAGCATTTACTTTACTTTGTATTTCGTGAATTCCAATTCTTTCACAACAAATACTTCCGGGCTGCTGCGAGCCATAACAAGATCTTTACCCAATAAATCCTGAACGTGAGCTCTCTATTCATGACTCCAAGCCATGCCTTACGGTGTTACAGCTTGTTCTTGTTGGTTTGGAGGGGACGTAAAGGCCAGTGGTACTGAAATTCGTTGACTCAAGGCGGCATTGATCTTTATAGAGGCGCTTCCAGATGGGTCGCACACCCTTAATGATAGATGCATCACGGCATTTAATGTAACCCGGTGATGTGTTTAATTTACAGTTTTTGTCAAAGTTGGTAAAACTTGGCTATCCTGTAAGTTGCAACTAAGTCGTCTAACGAAAGTTGTTTGATTTAAGAAGGAGCGTATCACTGAGGAATTCGACCAAAAATTGATCATTAACCAGGGACTCGTTCTGTTGACCTTCGCGAGGTGAGTCCTGTGATCTTTTCTATTTCGATAGAAAAGAGGCCGACAAACAGAAGTTGTGAATTGGATTGGATATTTTCGGAATTCAAAATGTTTGAGTTTCAATTATTATAACTCGTTTTTCAATTCTTGAAATGTGAATTTTTCGTCTTCAATTCTTGAAATGTGAATTTTTCGTCTTCAATTCTTCAAATGTGAATTTTCCATATTTAATTCTTGAAATGTGAATTTTTCCTCTTCAATTTTGAAATGTGAATTTTTCGTCTTCAATTCTTGAAATGTGAATTTTTCCTCTTCAATTCTTGAAATGTGAATTTTTCGTGATCAATTCTTGAAATGTGAATTTTTCGTATTCAATTCTTGAAATGTGAAATTTTTGTGTTCAATTCTTGAAATGTGAATTTTTGTTTTCAATTCTTGGAATGTGAATTTTTCCTCTTCAATTCTTGAAATGTGAATTTTTCTTCTTTAATTCTTGAAATGTGAATTTTTCGTATTCAATTCTTGAAATGTGAATTTTTCTTCTTTAATTCTTGAAATGTGAATTTTTCGTATTCAATTCTTGAAATGTGAAATTTTTGTGTTCAATTCTTGAAATGTGAAGTTTTCGTATTCAATTCTTGAAATGTGAATTTTTCCTCTTCAATTCTTGAAATGTGAATTTTTTCGTATTCAGTTATTGAAATGTGAATTTTTCGTCTTCAATTCTTGAAATGTGAATTTTTCCTCTTCAATTTTGAAATGTGAATTTTTCGTGATCAATTCTTGAAATGTGAATTTTTCGTGATTAATTCTTGAAATGTGAAGTTTTCGTGTTCAATTCTTGAAATGTGAATTTTTCGTATTCAATTCTTGAAATGTGAATTTTTCCTCTTCAATTCTTGAAATATGAATTTTTCATGATCAATTCTTGAAATGTGAATTTTTCCTCTTCAATTCTTGAAATGTGAATTTTTCTTCTTTAATTCTTGAAATGTGAATTTTTCGTATTCAATTCTTGAAATGTGAATTTTTCTTCTTTAATTCTTGAAATGTGAATTTTTCGTATTCAATTCTTAAAATGTGAAATTTTTGTGTTCAATTCTTGAAATGTGAAGTTTTCGTATTCAATTCTTGAAATGTGAAATTTTTGTGTTCAATTCTTGAAATGTGAATTTTTGTTTTCAATTCTTGGAATGTGAATTTTTCCTCTTCAATTCTTGAAATGTGAATTTTTCTTCTTTAATTCTTGAAATGTGAATTTTTCGTATTCAATTCTTGAAATGTGAATTTTTCGTATTCAATTCTTGAAATGTGAATTTTTGTTTTCAATTCTTGGAATGTGAATTTTTCCTCTTCAATTCTTGAAATGTGAATTTTTCTTCTTTAATTCTTGAAATGTGAATTTTTCGTATTCAATTCTTGAAATGTGAAATTTTTGTGTTCAATTCTTGAAATGTGAATTTTTGTTTTCAATTCTTGGAATGTGAATTTTTCCTCTTCAATTCTTGAAATGTGAATTTTTTTCTTCAATTCTTGAAATGTGAATTTTTCGTATTCAATTCTTGAAATGTGAATTTTTGTTTTCAATTCTTGGAATGTGAATTTTTCCTCTTCAATTCTTGAAATGTGAATTTTTCTTCTTTAATTCTTGAAATGTGAATTTTTCGTATTCAATTCTTGAAATGTGAAATTTTTGTGTTCAATTCTTGAAATGTGAAGTTTTCGTATTCAATTCTTGAAATGTGAAATTTTTGTGTTCAATTCTTGAAATGTGAATTTTTGTTTTCAATTCTTGGAATGTGAATTTTTCCTCTTCAATTCTTGAAATGTGAATTTTTCCTCTTCAATTCTTGAAATGTGAATTTTTCCTCTTCAATTTTGAAATGTGAATTTTTCGTGATCAATTCTTGAAATGTGAATTTTTCGTGATCAATTCTTGAAATGTGAATTTTTCGTGATTAATTCTTGAAATGTGAAGTTTTCGTGTTCAAATCTTGAAATGTGAATTTTTCGTATTCATTTCTTGAAATTTGAATTGTTCAAATGCGCTAAAGTCACTCGATCAACAACACGAAGACTTTTATAATTTTTTTGATGATGTTTGTGAATCGATTCCTAAGAAGATTTAAACGCTTTAATCTCCCAGTTATTTTTTGATTTAAGGCTTTAAAAAAAGTAAGAGCAAATAATGTTTTGTATGGAGATTTCGCGAAAATCTTCGATCAAGCACTACGTTCTCAAAAAAAAAAGTTCATGGAAAGCGCCATAATTTCCGCCACACTAGACGACAAAGTCTAAATTTTGACATATAAATCATTACTTTTGGATAAAACGGTGGACCTGTAGGTTGGGTGACAAAATTTGACCGACATAAAGAAACACCTTCCATGTTCCACGCGGAAGCTAACAACAGTGAAACAAATCACATGAAAATTGTTGTGTCTAATCAAATTTGATAGTCGAGAGTGATGAAGTGATGGCAGCTTTAGGCTCTAGAGTGGATTGAGAATGGGATTTTGAATTTTTATTGCTTTTATGGGACGTATGTATTGGCCTTTTGCTTGAGTTTTATGGGAGGATAGTATTATATTTTTGGAATTGTTCCTTACTACTTTTTAAACTGTGGCTTTACAGTAGATCAGATGTGACTCAAAAAGTTTAGAAAACACTGTTTTAGCTCTTTGACATCCATAAACAAACTAAAGCTTGACAGCATTAACTTTATTGACTATGAAATTTATGATAACCTTCAATTTACTAAAATACCATTACAAAAATAAGAAGCTGCTGCTAATAAATAAGCAAAAAAACAATATTAATATTTGAAGGGACAAATTTCATGTCAACTTTCTCTTTTCTGTGTAACTTAAATCACATCAAACTGTCCAACTTTATACTTTTTATCTACAACATCATATCGAAACATATTGCGACAGTTGTTCGTCGAAAAGGGTTGTTTGAACTTTTTCTTTGTGTAATATGAACAACAACATTATGAAAAAAAAAATTTATCATAA